CCTATATAATTCCCTGAATGAATCAGTGACATAGAGGAAAATGTTATTGACGTAAACTAAACGTTAAACGTTACCTTGTATGATATATTATGTATGTCTAGTAAAATTTGTTGCAGGCATAAAATCAAAAGTTTATCTATGTTCATTTGTTATAGCACTATGGTAGTTTTCAGGGTTTAGTAGTCTGTGCCTGAGCCCTTGAGTATCATTGTTATATAATTAATTAAAATTAATTCAGTAGAAGTTAAGTGTGCTCCTTTTAAACCCTAACAAAATTAGGAAAATCAAGCTAAAAGTGCCCAATACAGGATCCAAATTCGTGTTAAATATTCATAGATTAACTCTGTTGAAGGCCGCTGAATTAACAAAAGGTTAGTCAGTGTTTATAAATCAAAAATCTAACTGTCATTTATTCACGTAGTTAATTTAATGTACAATAATAACGTTAGTAAACAAATAATGCTCAAAAAATTACATTTACTGCTACTCTCAGTATCATGCTCCTCATCACATGTTAAAGCAGTCAATATTTATGATCAAGTCTTTACACGTTTTAGACGAATTTTATTAGAATAATGTACTAGTTGCATACAGTAGACCCTTTACTAAGACAATATATTATTTATTTGTAAATAAATAAAATTTAAGTTGCGGCGAAGCAAGATTATGGAGCAGGAAACTTTCTAGGTCGCCTGAGGCAATAGTTGATCAGCCATTTGTACCTTTTGATGACAAAGTGCAGAGGCGATGAGAACTTAGCGAAACTAATCGTGGTTGTTAACACAGAACGCAAAAGAACACGTGGCCGTTCACCAACTAGATGGACCGATCAAGGCGCTGGACAGAAACCAGTGGAAATAGATAGTCCGCTCCAGATGCTTCCTTGCTGACCACGATGCTCAGACATGAGCTGCCGATTAAAGAGAGAGACTGAAAAATTGGATTTCTTTATACGCACGTAGGAAGAGCAATAACGGCCGTCTTTACTTTTTAACATAATGCAAAAAAACAAATCATTTTCGCTCGTCCATAGTCACGTTTCCACTCATTGTATTAATTAAATATGGGCTACACGCGAAAAACGTCGATTTAAAGTTTATCACCGCTATGACGGCCGTCATGCTAATGACAGCACCGCTATTTGACGTTACGGTGACACTCGACGTTCTCTAGAAAACCTACTACGATGTTATTTATAGACAACGTATGGGTATGGGTGACGTCACCCAACGTTACATTACGGCCGTTAGATAACGGCACCGCTTTTCTAGGAAACCTAAGCTTAAGAACTACCTCGCGATCATTTCTATGGCCGTCAGCAATTAGTATAGGCAAGATTCGAATGATCTCGTTTGAGAAATGCACGTTGAGCTACTACGTGTCGATTACCTACTTTAAATGCTGAATTGATCTGACTAAACAAGTTTATTCTTAATAGAAATTAATACCTAGATTTCCCTATTGGTTATGTTACGGATATAACTGTGCTCTTGAGATATTTTTAGCTTTCCTTCCTTTAAATCTTATTCAGTTAAGGTTTTCCCATGCTTCAATTATCCAAATCTTCAATATGCTGATGAATATGGAATAGTATTGTCTCGGAATGTTTAAGGAATTTTTCTCGTAATCCTACAGCTAACTTAAATTATATATAACAAAAAATAATTTTACTAAATTTATAGCCAAATTTGGAATATATATTTAATCAAAATTATTAATAATTTTGATAATAAATAAAAATACATTTAACTAAGTAATACCTCATTCGGGTGTGTTGTGTCGAAGTGTGAAAGTTAGGGTGTGTATGTGGCGTGTGCTCATGATGCAGGTTATTTAGCGCTATGAATATTCTTCATGCACCTTTTAAGCGTATTCCGCGATAGCTTATACAAGTCGAGGCTTAAATAGTGGTCGTTGTATGTGCAGGCGGCGCAAAACTGAACTTTTGATGAATAAAATGAAAATGCCTTATCTGCTAAATTAATTTTCTTCAGTCAAAATCCTGACACTACTTAATTTTGAACAGGCGCTACATACTGTAATTAGTCATAGATTTTCTTTAAAAGTTCTCTTATATTTTCATGATGATGCGTAATAGTAGTTGGCCATAAGCCATTATCAGCTTCTGTTTTGACTAAACCACTGGTATCAGTCAACACGACGAATGAATGCATCTGATGTGCTCTTTTGTTAGGAATACGTACGCCAATATGTAGATTTAAAGTGACACGCCTTTTCATTGTTAATGTTATTTGCCTCCAGTTACTAAGCTAAGCGGAACCGTGACGTCACATGACGTCATTCATATGTGGTTTTAAGCACATAATGATAGTATAATATAATCGGTGCAATAACACGTTCATCAGTTTTATAACACACGTTCAAGCGTGCGTAAGTCGGGCGCGCGTGACTTCTTTGCTAAATATGAAATGTGAATTTTGTTATTGCGTGGTATTCCTATATTGACTCGAAAGCTTTATAGTCGTGTATCAAACGTTTAAATGCATATCAAAAAGTTGACTAGGGTAAGTGTTTAGTTTTTCCGTATTATAGACGAAATCAACTATATCATCAATCAACATTTATTACCGGCTTAAAAATAAAGAAATCAGTGGCGCTACAACCTTTATAGGTCAGGGCCACAGATTTTCATGATCATCATCTAATAGGCAAGTAAGTGATCAGCCTTGGTCTCCTCAAGTTCCCTTAAGATCAGCTCCGGTTTCCTCAAGTTTTCGTTCACCGTTAAATGCGCGCATAGAAAGAAAGTTCATTGGTGCACAGCTGGGGATCGAACCTACGACCTCAGGGATAAGATTCGCACGCTGAAGTCACTAGGCTTACACAGCTCTTACAAACACCTTGACGATTTAAAAGAGTGATGGAGATTTTTTTATTTCTTGTCATTCTACGCCCTGAGAAAACTAGCAGTAAATGTATATTTAGAAGCATTTTTCTTTCTAACCTATTATTAATGATTATAATATTAATAATGATTTGGTTTGGTATTCTCTGATTTGTTTTAAAGTATGTTTTGGAGTTTAATATAAGTTTTTCGTTTAAATTTAAAATCCTCCCTCAAAGGCCAGCAATTTACCCACTAAAATCTATGTCCCACGGTCTGCGACGACTGCCCTTTTTCTATTTCCCCCCCTTGCCTTCTTGAGTTCTACCTTATACTCAGGTAGAACTGTTTATTGGCTAGATAAAGGTCTTTAAAGTAATATTCAACCTGTTTACTCTAAGAATGCTGCAGGTATGCAAGTTGTTGCCGTATAAAATGTATGAATTAATTTAATTTATATTATAGAATGCGTATTAATTGTTCCAGTATTTACAATTTAAGTGGTTTTACATTTATCCTCATTATTGACTTGATTCAAGGTTTCAGAGACATAACTTTTCAGTATGTACAATATAGAGATGGGCAAATCGTTTTGCTAATTTACACTCCCAGGCTCCGCTGTCAGCTCAATGACATGATATTGATAAATGACTATTGATATTTGGTTAAATTTTTTCCATAAAAAATACGTTTCTAAAAATATATTTTCCTAAAAAAGTAATGTCAAAGATGTCGATAATAATATGCTGCATACTAAATTATGATTTAAATTAAGAATTTTAAGTGATTTTTCACATATACATTATTTATCACTTCCTATAATTCTTAGTGAATGTTTTTATCGTAGAACGGGTAGAACGCATCAAATTTCAAATTCAAGTTGATTAAACAGTTATATGCAGTATTATTAGTAATTTGACGTATTCCCGTTACTTTATAGACTATATTTGATAGTTTTCCACTTAGGTTGCTTTAATTATGTATTTGTTAATTAATATTTCTGACGGTTCGTTGGGTACACCTATAGGTATTCTTATACAGTTTTTTTACACCAGTACCGAGGGAAGATCGTTACTTTAGTACTATTTGAAATTTTAGTTATAAAATTTATTTACTATTATGTATTTATTTATTTCCAAATAATTATTCAATCTTAACAGTTACTACTAATGCGATATAACTAAACACACCTACACAGATGATTATAAAATTAATATACATAGATCATATAACTAATAATATAGCAAGCAGTGAACTCAGCCAGTGAACAAACAAATAGGTCTACCTCGATATAAATTATATTTATTATATGAATTGCTCGCGTAAGTGGTGCTTTGCTAACCAAGTTTGAGTGTGCGCGCGGCACAAAAGTTGAGACTTCCGCCTCAGGTTCTTGCTTGGGACTGGTAGAATTTGTATAAACTGCGCTGTATTTTTATGTGTTGTTGTATTATAATAAAGATACACATTCCATTTGTAGGTATTTTCGACATACAGAATTGTACGTTCCTTTGTTTTTCTTAATTTTGTTTTATGTTGTCGCTGTATAGAGTTAACACTGTATGTGCATTATTAAGGTAACACTAGGCTAGCTAGACTAAACTAGCTAGACTAGCTAGGTAAGTCTTTGAGGCAAAACTTCACTTGCCGGAAATTAAAAACAGTTGTAGAAATGACCCGATTCAACGATTTATGTTCGAATTCCAGTACATTTCCGGCCAAACTGTATAGTCGCAACTAACATCCGGTTGTCTAAAGGCCCACACAATATTGGCAATCTTTGAATATGGAGCCAATTTCTACACAATATTAATAAAGCGAAGTGAGGTGGTAGTGTTAGGTATATAAGACTGGTAAATAATAACGTATAGCTGTTTAATATGTTATATAATCATTCTTGATTAGCAATTAATAATAAAATTAAACGTAACGAGTTTTATGAGTTGTTATATACTGTATATCTATGGTAATCATACGAAACATTAGTACATTTTATTATTCAGTTTAAAACACATTTAAATTAAATTCCTTGAATCTAAGGGCGTGTATAAAATGGGTTCGATTTAAACGTATGCTAATTACGTGTTTTTCGTGTTGTTTATTTTTAATGAATTTTGATATTTGTCCATAGAAGAGTGGCGGGCGCGGCACAATAATGGACGACGGGGGCAGCAATAAGCAGCGGCAAGCGACACGAGTCTTCAAGAAGAGTTCGCCCAATGGAAAGGTAAGTCTTTGAAGAAGATAAATCAGTGTAATCTGTCTTCTTGTAGACAGTCTCTTGCCAACCACGATTGCCGAAAAGCACTCAAAACGTCGAGTTTTGTAAATTATAGTTTCCTGTTTGTGTAAAAAGTAATCAAAAAACTTTTTTATATCTCCGCATAGTTTAAAATTTATGCTGTTATTGAGGCGTGATAAATGAACACTTTAATGCCTGTATGTTTCTTGGAATGACCATAATTATATTTAATGAAGCATTAATTGTGTCGATTAGATATGTTGTATCGGTAGATGCAGTATGGTGATTAATGAATCAAGGTTGTTTATCAACATTTACAGGTCATCTTTCGATAATTTGAAAAAAAAAATCGGTCCCTTGAAAAATATTCAAAAATTGAATAAAATCAATGTTAATTGGTAATTATTGTTATGTTATATTATGTTAATCGATAATTTGAAGTTGAAGGAACAGTATCTTGCTCGCTAACTTATAATTTGAAGTCCGGGCTTCCCCGCTTTCTATAATTTGAAGTGTTTATTATGCATAGACCTGTCAATTGTTTTTTGAAATTCATTGGACACTGATAGACCGAAAAAAACTCTCAAAAAAAAGAATACGGACTTCTTTTCGAATTATAACATTTTTGATTGTGTATTTAATCATTAATACATTATAATAATATAGAAACAATAAATCATGAATTTTGATCAAACTCTGATTTACTAGAGTCCCCCGACCCCCTCGTGGTTATTTAAACGCTTGTCCAGTGTCGACTGTAATATTAAATAGAGTTTTTTCAGTATAAAATAGTCCTATTAAAACTTAAACAAAAATTAAACGTGCCGTACATTCGATACAATAAAAATTCAAAGTATTGTGTTTTAAAATCAATAAATCTGTTGAGTTTGCGGAAATGGAAGTTTATTTTCCTTTAGACAATGCCTTTGAACACGGCTTATACGTCATGCAAATCTCTACCACGTGCAAGGTTTAATGAAAGTATTAAAACTTGTTGTAAGATACTTTTATTTACATGTTAAAGTTTGGTGCCTTTCAACTGTTAATAGATCGATGTAGCTTATCCGAATTTACACCACACCACAGCCATTTTGGCCTCAGATTTGTAATCTGTTTCGTTAACTTTTTAAAGTTAAGTAAATTATCGTGGTGAGCCTGCCCGATAGCTTTGAGATAATCCCACCAACCTTTGATCCTACCCGTAGGGCTCCGCCTGTTACCTTAGGTCTCTTGGTGCAGACATCCCGTACTTATTTATATATTCACTATTTATGTGTTAGGGTACGTCTGTAGGGCTTAGGAATCCGTGGGGTGGTTAGGTTCTTTGGTATCTCTCATATATTTAGTCATCTAGTGCAGCTTGCTAATATACAGTACATATACTATACAGAATACAGATACTCCTGACATTTAAAACTTATAAATTTAACCACACATTTCACAGTCCTCTGGCTGGCAAGCTGTACAATGTCATTAATTGTTAATCTTTTGAAGTCGCTTAAAAATAAGGCTTTATAAAAAAAGAGGTTTTTAGAAGTCGGCTAAAATATTTAAGTTTGTAAATTTGTGTGCCAAAGGTAATGCTAACTTTAACTAGTTACATATACCATTTTGATTGTTGTAGTAGTTTTAAAATAGTTTAATGGTTGGTTGGTTGTCTATGGGCCCTGCGTTCGATTCCTTACGTAATAGAAGGACTTGAGCCCCGCAGTTTCACTCGTGTTTTATTGATCTTATCATGAGGCGACAAAATTACTATCCTACTAACTATAATATTTATACAATATATAAAGTTCTGGACATAGTTTGTGACACCACGTTAGTATTGTATTTATCTTTGTATGGCAAAATAAGGTTTGCTGGGTGAACGAACAATAAATATTAAATTGTTTAAATTTGGACCTTACTGGTTCTCACAACTTTCTAAGTTTAGCCCATTTAACCAAACACTCTTTGGTTTTATAATATAATTATGTATAAAATAAGCAGCATATTGTCATAGTATATATAATAATCAACAAAAAGGTGTAACCCAGTGTTTCCCAACCTTTTTTGTGTCATGCCCTACCTTAGCCTTTCTAAGAGTGGGGCATGGCACAAAAAAGCACAAAAAATACTCGTATGCCCCCCCACTATGTAACATAAATAAGTTTTAAAATCAAAAAAATTAATTTTGAAGAAACTTAAATGTTAGGTTTTAGAAATAAATTACTAGAAAATAGTTAACGAAACACAGTTATATTTTCAAAACGTATAATGAAAAACTGAAATTCAAATTCCAAATAATTTTATAACTTTCGAAAAACCCCCCTTATAATTCAAATTGCCCCCTATGGTGCATTTGCCCTCCTTTGGGAAACACTGATGTAACCTAATATACCTATATATAATAACACTAAGGTTTCTGGATTCCTCTTTACCATATTTGCTTAACAATTTAGCTTTTAGTTTCGCTGTTTAAGTTCGTTAAGTGCTCGTGGTATAGCGATTTTATGTAAATATAATGTCGTGTCTTCACGGCTATCTTCGTGACTAAACATTATCGTAGGTTATTAGCTACGACTGTCACGCGAAATAACGATTAGATGACTTGTTACTGCCCATGGCTTTACAAGGAAGTGTCATCTCAATTTGCCACACAGGTAAACGGTATATTATAATAATAAACGATACATTCATAGAAATTATAGGATTATGAAGAAAATAATAAATTTAAGTTGGACTTTAAATACAACTATGGAATTGATCAAGGGGAACGAGACACTAGAAAAAGGTGGATAGAAGATATTGAATCGTTAGCAGGAAGCGAATAGAGAAAGAAAGCCGTGGATAGAACTTCTGGAAAGCACTGGAGGCTAACCGTGACGCTCCGAATGGTACTGAAGGAAGTTACGACAACAAGTTATAAGAAAAAATATAATTAATTAATATAAATAAATTCTAAAAAAATAAAAAGTATAATAATATGTAATATATTGATGGAGTCATAAAATAATAATATATCTAGCAAGTATATTTTAATGAAGTATGTGTCAACTATTAATGTAATATATTTAAATTGTATATTGCTAATAAATTCCAACACGGAAATAAATGAGCCATATTATAAAGAAAAATGTTCGTGTAATCGTTAAAAGCCATTTGAAATAATATAAATTAGAACTTCGAATCAAAGCTTAGAAAGTTGTTTACAAAAGCTTATTTAAAGCGTTCTGTGTCTAAGCTTCGGTCTCTGAAACTTAAGCGCATTCAAGAAAAGTTTTCTATTTATTTCAGCAGCTCCTAAATGTTTATATTTGCGAATGTGAAATAAATATAACTGTTTAAATTCTTAATGTATGATTTGTTTTTGACATAGACATATAACAAACAAAAACACACACACATAAAGACACAAAATAACAATAATTAAATAAAAAAGTAAATAAAAAATATAATGAGAGATATATTAAAAAAAATCCCTTTTACCATTCGGTCCGTTTCAAGTGTGTAATGCGTGTGTGCTGTGGCAGTAATTGGCCCTGGCTCAGCATTATGCTGAGGAGCAGAATGTTCCACAGCGCTGGTCAGTCTGCCACAGCAGCTAGTTTCCGCTTCAGTCGCAAAAAAAGAAAGGAATACTTAGTAGAAAAAAAATATATTAGTAAAAGTTAGCAGTTTTTCAATAGTAGGTACTTCATATAATTTAGTTTACAAATAATTAAAAAGCCTTTAGCTATACGTCTCAACGAACGCGTAATTTTCACTCTCAAACATTTTATAAAATTATTCTCTTTTAACAATTTAAGTAGATTGTAGGGACCTTTTTCGCTTAGCTCTTATTAGAATTATTCTTTTCATCTAAATTAATGAAATAACATCCAACATTATTTTTTAGGCTGAAACACTTGTTATCATTAAGTTTACAAAAGGACTTGTGTTTTCATTTCGAAAACTGATTACTTTAAAAATGTACTGTGAAATATAAAATACAACAAATTAATACTAATCTACTAACTTAAATTGCCAATTAAAATGTTTAATTAGATTAATGTTGAGTAAAATAGTGGAGAGTTAATAGTGTACATACAAAGTAACATCCTTAAGCACGACGCAGCCGTCAAAACGTCACATCCATAATCATGCGGTCTCTTCTCCTGATAAGGTCTTCATTTTTAGGGTCCATCAGTTCTTGTCCATGTGTACATACCTTTATTTTGATTACAAATTACAACTTTATTACTCACATACGTTTTGTCAAGAAAGACTTCGATTTCCAAACGACATTTCATTGCTTCTTAGCTTAAGACATATGATATACCGTTGTGTGAGCATTATAATTTTAGCTTCATATGTAAGACTGACAAGCTTTGGAAAGAGTCCCGTGTACAATTCTATTATTGGAAAAAAGGGTGCGTGTACTTATGTACGCGCGTAAGAAGTCATACTTCTTTGGCATTATTAAAAATAGTTTTTGATTGCATGCAAATAATTAATTACAATTAAATAATCAAAGACTGGAAAATGAGTCATTATAGTCAATAAAGTTCAGTTTACATTTGGAACAGAACATTTGGTGTAACAAAAATTCTATTATTATTCAAATGTTGTTTTTAAATTATGTCCAATGCCGTAGCATCTTCCGTGGGCAACTTCATTCTGTTAATTTTGTGTCACGGTGCGCGCACATTGTAAAATTTCACTCTCATAAATTTTTCATAACGCGCCTAAAGAAGTATAACTTCAAAAATATTAATAATGAAATTAAGTACACTTTTTTATTTTCAGATCACAGTATATTTAGGGAAAAGAGACTTCGTTGATCACATCACACATGTCGACCCAATTGGTAAGTAATGTTAATATCTTGTACGCTATGAAATTAATATAAGAATTTTAAAAATGCATGCTAAGCACACTTCTGACCGCGTGATTTAAGCATTGGTACCTACAAAAACGTTTTAAGTTTAAAGTATTTAATTCTGTATTAAACTAAATTCAAAGCCTAAACTAGACAATGATCTTGTGAATAGCTGGTTAGTAGTAGTAATTGATTATTTTTTATGAAAATTCCGTCACGATATATAGAAATATCAATAAATACAAGGCAGTGTAGGTGTACAAAACCCTGTTTAAATTTTATCTGAACAACCTTCGATGTAAGAGCAAACATAAGATAACAATTTCAAATATTTATTCGAAATATTTAGTTAGATCACATCACCTTGAGTACGAGTTGGTGGTACTCAGAATTTTCTGTACGTATTAAAGAATAAGAACGTGCGACAAATTGTATTTTGGCTAGCAACTGAATATTATATTTTGTGAGTTACCTGTCTTAATAGCTGAATATTTAGAAAAACCGACGATTAGACGACGGCGAGTGAGAGTAATCATTAGATTTGCTCATTGACTGATGCCCCACATTTGTTTAAAAACTGTTGTAAAGTCTGTTTGCACACAGCCTTGCGATTCTGTAACTCACTTTACGAACTCACACAGCGGTTTTCGCAGCGGCGGTCGCGCTCAAATCAGTCGTAAAGCAGTCATTTTACGATTTGGCATTCTGATAAACAATAAACTACAAGAGGGACCTTATTTTTAGTTTTATCTCTAGTAAAGTTTTGTTTTGATTTGCTTTACAGTAACTTATTTGAGTACCTAGAGAATTAACACAGTACACGAATAACACGTAAATTATAAATTAGATTTTACTAAAATTTCCGAACAAAGCGCAATAAAATTCGAATATTCGTTGTAATTAATGGAATTCCCACCTACACAGATCGTAGATTGACAAGTCGGCTTAATATTAAAATAGATTTCGATGAATTGCTATTAAGGGAAAAATATTTCTTTGAAGAGTTTTGTTTGAACTTAGTAAAAATAATTGAAGGTGTGGAACAATTTTTGTCTTAAAACGTTTTATTCATTTTATGAGGATTCTGTACATAAACGAGTCGTATGTGTAGAATAATAAAATCTTCGTCTTATATGTTAGGAAATGTATTTAATAACATTTTTACATATTTAATATACATTGTCACCTTCTCTTGATATAAATCGATAGTTTGATTCTGATTTCGAAAATCAAGTCATTCTTCGTTTTACAAACGTTTTCATATAAAACTCTCACCTTCGTAGAACAGTCTCAGGAATAACAAATTCCTCCTTCTTCAGTCATGCTAGTAGCACGGCACAACTTCCTCTACTCTCCCTGGTCTTCGGAAAGCCTTTGCGCCTGGGTGACGGTAATACCTGTAAGGGCCTTTACTTGATCGGTCCAGCGAGTAGGAAGGGTATCGGCCTCGAGGTCTGGTGCCCTCCACTCTGCCAGTCACGATAAGCATTTTCAAACTTTCTGGATTCACTGCGTCACTGGATTCACATGTCCAAAAAAACTATTGTCAAAGTGTCGAAATACGACCGTCTCAGTATGGACACTTTTGTTTCCTTAGCTGGGAATCCAGGGAATCCTTAGCAAATTCCTAGGATGTGTTATTTCACACTTACTAACTCCGTTGGCTCTGCGATCCGAAAAGTTTATTAGCCTCCGAAACGGGAAACTTCCAGCGCTCCATGACCTGTGACACCTTCCACCAATTGCTGGCTTTCAGCTGCAGCAGTTCTCTTCCACTCTGTCAATCCAGCGATATGTCATGTGTCACAAATTTTTATGTGATGTTGATTTCTTCTTCATATCTTATTAATTGTTCCGCCTTGGTTTTGATCATTGTACACTACATAATTACTTCCATATAATTTATTCAAGCTTTACGTGTATAATATATCTATTAGAGACTACAATAAATTTCTTATTCATATGTATTTTTTAGTATGTAAGGATTGCTGTTATTCTTGACATACTATCATTTAAGTCCTTTTTGCTGATTATAAATAAAATAATACAAATTGTAATACGTAATTTCAGATGGAGTGGTCCTAATCGACCCTGAGTACGTGAAGGATAGGAAGGTGTTTGGTCACGTGCTGGCGGCGTTCCGGTACGGTAGAGAGGACCTTGACGTGCTAGGTCTCACCTTCAGGAAGGATCTTTACTTAGCTGCTGAACAGGTACTGCGATACTTATGTAATATATATCTTAATATCTATATATATGGACTCCTAAACTACGATTTCAAACAAATTTGCCATGTGCAGTTTGATCTAACTTAAAAGATAGGATAGCTTACATCTAATTTATACCGGCAATATTATTTTATTGCAAAATATTTGTTTATTATTTGATAGTCACAATTCTAACAGATGGCGCTGTGTTGAAAGTTACCGACGTTTCACATAAGCTACAATTTAATGGCATAACCACCAAACAAGTATTCTGGTCTCCATGACTGGTGTTCTCGTACCGTTTCCCTTAAATAGTTTACTACTATAATATACGTAGTTATATAACAAAAACCTTAGCCACAGCAACGCTTTGCCGGTCTGCTAGTATATATATACTATATACCTACTACCGTTTTGACGATTGTAGTTCGTGGTTCTATGAGCCGGAAATCTTGGGTCATATTTTATCTTAGCAAGTCTAAGTCTTCACTTGTCTAAAATTACCCAAAAGGGCTAAATGGGTCTGCCTCGCTATGAAGGGTAAAGGGTATTTATTTAGTTAAATATATTTGGCATGATATCCGATGTGTTTGTGTTATTAGAGGGTAGATAATTTCAAACAAACATATTTCAGATCTACCCACAGACGAACGTACAAAAGCGTCCATTAACGCGACTACAAGAACGTTTAGTACGCAAGCTGGGTCCGTCTGCACATCCCTTCTACTTCGAGCTACCTCCTCATTGTCCAGCCTCTGTGACTCTTCAACCAGCTCCTGGTGATACGGGAAAGCCATGTGGGGTAGATTATGAGTTGAAGGCTTTCGTCGCTGATTCACAGGATGATAAGCCACATAAAAGGTAATACCCGTTCGGAATGACATTTTCCTCTTTTAACAAATGCGCTGTGGGTATATCAAGTTTCCACCATTGTAATAATATATATTATATATACTTAATAGTACTTGAAACTAGTCTTAAATTTTGAGTAACGAGTTCTCTAAAGCTTTGCTTAATTTAGGACAGCATATAATAAGAATAGCGTTTATAAAAAAAAAGTTTAGTGTCGATTATTCTGATGATCTCGGTAAAAAAATCATAATATAATGTATTCATATAGGCAATAAACTCTCCGTCACTCTTTTAAATCGCCAAAGTCATGTTATACAATGATTTTGTAAGCATCTGCAACCATTACATAGTGCTTCTCACACCGTTAATTATTGTAATTAAATAATAAATAAATAAGATAACCAAACGTTTCCTTTAAATTTACGTTTTTAACAAATTGATTTACGCTATTCCTGTTTTGCTGAATAATAAATTCGAAATTTTAAATGCAATCCATTTTAATCTTTATATATTTCAGAAATTCAGTGCGGTTGGCAATTAGAAAGATAATGTATGCGCCGAGTAAGCAAGGGGAGCAGCCGTCCGTCGAGGTTTCTAAGGAATTTATGATGAGCCCGAACAAAATGTACCTAGAAGCTTCATTAGACAAGGTAAATCATATACTGAGCCTGCCTAATCCAATTTCGTTTGGGCTCTTTGGACTTAATGTGTTCGACAATCGTCCAACATAGGAGAATACAGTTTGCATGTATGATTTGACTTATTCAAGATCCTTCTGGGTGGGATTACCTAGCCGTGAAACTTCATAGCAAAAAATCCTTGGTAAATCTTGAGACTAGTAGTGTTAGATATGCTTCCATCACTAAATCGTTTAAAGGAGTGACCGTAATTCGTTCAAGTATTACGGTCCCGTAAGTTTTGGAGATTATTGCCCTGACCCCCCCCCCATGTAACGCGTAACGATTTTCTGTACCCAAGTACAGTACTATAACCAAGTATCTATCCCCATTATGTGGTGCAAAGTACTGGAAAGTCGAAATTAGTATTACAATAAGGCATAATTCAATTCCCGCCCCGCATCGTAACGTTTTACACAAGGACCTCCCACCCAAATTCGTTACGTAATACTTGAACCAATGTGTACCACAAAGAACGGTTCGGTGGCCGTCGATACACAATTCATATTAAAATAATAAGTCCTGAGTACATACCTCGTCAATGTCTCCTTACAGAAAGATAGGCACACAATGTTATCAGCCGTAAGGATTTGGAATTAGTTTTAGTATGGGCACAAAGAGAGGTTAGACTGATGATAATTGATACCTTGCCTCACAATAGTTCTTAAACACGCACTAAACACTCACTATACAATTTTAAATAGTGGACGTATCTATAATTAACAAAAAGTACATGTGTACTATCCAAATAAAAAATGCTAGATGCACGAGAACACGTAACCCGAATGAAGCTCAACAAATGACTAACAAAAAAATGTGTCGATCGGCCGTGTAAAAATATTTGGCATCACCCTCATCAAATTTAATAAAATTAATATAATGTATTTCGAACAGTCCCCCGTCCCAGTCAGGCGCAACATGACTGAGTCCAAAACCGGAGGCTGGGTACAAAGTTTATGCCACTGGGAGACGTGACAAGCCCGCCACGGCTCTTTTTTAAAACCGATTCCCCAACACGGACCTCGGCGACTCGCGGGGTACCATCCGCGCCCGGGAATAGTTTAATAATGCGACCACGTCTCCAAGATAATGGTGGCATATATGGTTCTTTGATAAGGACCAAGTCCCCAACCCTAGGCGGATCCGTTTTGTCTATCCAACGAACCCGCTGCTGCAATAAATGGAGATATTCTAAATTAAAACGTTTCCAAAAACTTTGAGATAGTTGTTGTACTTATTTTAGCTTTTCTTCAGTTTATTTAATATATTCTTAAATTCCAGGAGTTATATCATCACGGCGAGAATATAGCAGTGAACGTGCACATAGCGAACAACTCGAATCGATCGGTGAAACGGATCAAGGTGTCTGTGCGTCAGTTTGCGGACATTTGTCTCTTCTCCACTGCGCAGTATAAGTGCACTGTGGCTGAAGCCGAGAGCGAGTAAGTTTTTCATTAATTCTATACAAAGTCTTGAAGGAGTCTTATTAGAAATCAAACAGAAAAAAAAATGGTTTTATTTATATATTTACAGAAAACAACCAAACAATGATACTTAGAATGACAAGTTTTTATCATTAGTGTTCTCTTCAGTCATTTCAAACTGGTACATGTACTGGCCCGTATACTAGAACGTCAATCACGCTTAAATCTAGTTTCAAGAGCTGTCAAACTAATTTTTCTATGTGCAGTTTGACATACTTGACAGCGCTAAGAGATTGTGAAATACAATTTAAAATATACATCTTAGTTAAAGATTGTTTTCTTGGTTGCGTTGTTAAAAAAACTATGTCGATTGAAAATTAACCAAAGATTGACATTTGACTACAAAAGCCATTATTTTTAATTTATAAAAAGTTTTTTGTGTAGGCAACACAAGACGCGCATAGAATTTCCATTAAATGGACTTTTCCGTAGGAATAAGAAATTTCAGTCTGTGTAAGTAAGATAGTGAGAGTGTTCCTAAACTAATTGTTTTTCATTGTTTGGACTTAAATTTATGAATAACAGCATCCGATTTTGACTTTTAAATAAGTTTTATTTCTCATTGATTATGTAATTATTTGCCTGTTTTATCTTTTTTGCGTGGTTGGGGAGCGTTCAAGCATTACGTCACGCAATTTTTTGTTTCGTGACCACCTTGTGACTCTTTATACCTAAAAGTTACCACCGTCCACACCCCACACCCCCCCAAATTCGTAACGTAACACTTGAACGCTCCCTTGCGCGAAAAAGGATAGAAGTGTACATTTGAAAATGTACTTTAACCTAAGGTAATAAAGTATTTATTGCAATTGACGAGACTTCAAAGTGAACTCGTAAAGAACTCAGACGTCTTAAGTTACTTAATTTCATTGGTTTTTAGCGAATTGATAAATCAAATTAAGGCAACATTGGTTAATTAAAAATATACAAAATTTTGACTTTACTTAATGAATACCTGGTAAAAAGCGTACGCCTCTGAACCCAAAAGTCGTGCGTTCGATTCATGTCTGTGCACGCATTCTACGTGCACACGTATCTAACACTCGCTTGTACGGTGAAGGAAAACATCGTCAGGATATGTCAGACACAGAACGCTGATCACCTACTTGTCTGTTAGAAACAAAATGATCACGAATTACTAACTTACTTAAGGGAAAAAAAGCACCATCACTATGTGGAATCAGCTGGCCACTGAAGTATTTCCGAACCAATTCGACTTAGGGTCCTTCAAGAAAAGAGCGTACCAATTCTTAAAAGGCCTTCTGGCAGTACGAGTGTCCGTGGGTGGCGGTATCACTTAATATCAGGTGAGCCTCATGCCCGTCTGCCTCCTGTAACATATAAAAAAAAACTAAAAATATACAGACAGACCAAGACCAAGAGTTGTGAAAGCAATGGTCAGAAAGTTTAATGTATATTTTTTAGTTTATGAGGGTAGTTTTCAGTAACGTGTTTTCAGAGAGGGCTGTCCAGTGGGACCAGGGTTTACGCTGAGCAAGGTCTTCACATTGACTCCACTCCTCGCAAATAACAAGGATAAATGGGGTCTAGCGCTTGATGGACAGTTGAAGCATGAGGACACCAACCTTGCTTCCAGTACGCTGTAAGTCTATAAGAACTATGTATTATTTCTAAATTATCTTTAATTTTTTATATTGACATGCAATAAAATTATAGCTGTTTCTTTCCAAAAGTTTCAACGTATGAGCAATTAACCATTTGATAGATAAAAGAAATACATTTTTGTCGGAATAAATAACTAACAATCGATATTTATTAACAATTTTTAAGTCGCCAAAATATCGCAGTTTTATTCACAACTAATAGTATAAGATCCCGATATACAACGACCTTAATGAAACGTATTTTATATTTAATTTAATATGTCAATAAATATAATCCATATGGGTTGCCTAGCAAATTTCAGTTCAGAGTATGTTTAATTAATATTTAAAAAAAAAATATTTTTTTATAATTTGCATGTAGTAAATTTTTAAAATTTTTTTCAATCAATATTTTTAATCAGGGTAGTACTATATATGTATCACTATAACTTTATTTTTTACTAAAGATGTAGATATACTTTAGTGTCACATAAAAAATATACACATAAATAATTAATTGATTAAAAACAACCTAACCTTTGCATATTCTATGGGCTTCATACTTTCGATTGGTATAGAATTTATCTAATAATCATACCGGTGAAATGTTAAAAAAAATATTTTTTTTTAAATATTAATTAAAATACTCTGGACTGAAATTTGCTAGGCAACTCATATGGATTATATTTATTGACATATTAAATTAAGTATAAAATACGTTTCATTAAATAAGCATCTCGGTGAAGGTCGTTGTATATCGGGATCTTAGACCATAAAGTCAATTTAACACGCTGACAATTTCAAACACTCTTAAAACAACGTTGAAATGGAATGAATCCATACGAACTTCAAAAATATGTGAATCAAGTTCAGTTATTGTGATATAGTACCTATTTTCGTATTTTTATAGTAAAGGGAGATGGGGCAGGTTGGAGGATGCTTTCACTCTATAAGATGTCGTTGGGAAAAAAAATATTTTTGTATAAAATTTTAAGTAGATATATCTTTTGTAAAGATGAATGAATGTTTCATGGAATAATTGAGGCTTATTTATGATTATACTTAATTTGTGGTTATTTTTATTTACGCTGAAATATTTTTTCACAAGTAATCATTTAGAGTAAGATTACGTTACGTTAATTATCTAATATTCTTATTACTATATATGTATATGTAATCGAAATTGAATAAGGTAGCAATTGTTCGGTTCCTACTTCGAAAAATAAATAATTATGCTTGTAGTTACACAATTACAAGTAACATTATTATATTACAGAATAGCGGATCCCGCACAACGCGAAAATCTCGGTATTATTGTACAGTACAAAGTAAAAGTTAAACTCTGCTTGGGGCCACTTGGAGGGTAAGCGTTTTTTTTAAATATCCAAATGTATTTACTATTTTCTGTTTACTATTAGGACTAATGTGACCTCATTTCTTACTTCAGGGACCTTAGCGCAGAGCTACCCTTCATCCTGATGCATCCGAAGCCCGAAGAGGAGCCTCCCCGTTTACTTCCAGATCCCACTCCGGCTGATCATGATCTTATTCAGCTTGACCCTCAACCGTGAGTAGCAATATTTTTTCTTTATTTTTAAACAATTATTTTTTTAGCATGACAACACTTATTTTTCAAGCAACAATACACCTAGATAATAATTATAAAATGTATTGGAATAGTAAAGTCTTTATTCTCAAAGAGGGTATGGGGTCAATTTATGTAATAAGTAATAAGTAAATAATGTAATGTCAGCTGTCATACTGACATACCATATATTTACAAATGTATTAAATGTTTAGAAATGAAAACGGTCAAGATCAAGACGACGATATAATTTTCGAAGACTTCGCTCGACTCAGGCTGAAAGGGGCAGACGCCGATGCCTGAACCTTATACTAACTTTGCTCTCTTGTCTACATTATTTTACTTATTTCACGCACAACGTAATGAATCCCCTTACTTATAAATTCTCTGTTATATTGTTTAAAATCTGTTTAAAAATCATTTTCTTATAAGTAAAGGGATATAATGATTGCATTACTACTCTGTATATTTAGTCTATGACATTATTAAATTCTCGGTGAATGTAATGACTTTATCGCTTTGTCTTTAAGTATTTTATAATGCATAATCATTTAGTGTAGTCTAATTGACTTGGTTATAGATATAAATTTGGTGTTTGAATGTAAACAGATAAAATATTATACTAAAATATGCCTAAAATAAAAAAATGTGTTTATGAGTATTTTATTGAAAACATGAAATTTTACGCACTTTTTGTGTTTTTATCGTTATAGAGTTAAAATAATGTGGTGAGGGAGCATTTTGTATAAATCAAGCAAAAGCTGTACAGTGTAAAGTCACAATATTTTAATATGAAGATTTATTTTTAACGGGGTGGATATTAAATTACCAAAAATATTTTAATTCCGCACATAGGTATTATAATTTAGCTTTATAACGAGTACAATTTTATTTGTTAATTTTAAATATTGGCCATTGTTTTTATATAGTTGTAGTAATGTTTTGGTAATGTGCATTTAATAGATTAAATTTACCTCAATATTTACTTTATGTATAGTTAATGTGTTATGAACAAAATGGTTATTCACGCTCAAAATCACGTTTAGAAACTAAATCACACCATAGTTATACTGTTTTAACCACAAAGAGACGAATCAATCTTAGTAATTTAGAAAAAGTAAACTCAATTTCTATTACTTGTCATCATTATGAAACTATTTCATACGAGAGAACGATTTTGATGAAACTTAGACTGTTCCGAAGTTGCAATGCTTTTCAAACCATGGATCTTCTTGATATGTCTTAGCACTACCAGCTAATATGACGTTCCAATATGACATTTTCTGTAAAAATTATCTTTTTAAACAGCTTTAGCATTCGTCTCTTTCTATTTGTGGTTATTTGGTGAAAACCGCGATCACAGCTTATTTAAAATAGTGAACTAAGATTGATTTAGTTTGTAAATAAGATGTAAGAATACATAAGTATTCATCGTGTCAGGTGAAATCGCAACTTAAAAGAACCGTTCAAAAATCGCAACGAAACGAGTCTTGTACTGTACAGTCACAAATTAATCAGTTTAATTTCGATCATTTTTCAGCATTAAAATAAGTGCACAAATTTAAATCATCTTTTAATTGTGTTATTACCTTTGTAGTCAATTACATTTGCAATGGAGACCGCGCTGTATGAATATGAAATCAAAAGCAGTTGATTTATGCACTTTGGATTTTAGATAAACGTTTTTATATTTAATTCTCGTGCAAACTACAAATTTGATACAACAATACACGAAAGTTAAATGTAAAATTTTATTCTTTATGGCAACCCTACGTCGGGGAATTGCCAGAAGAAACATTGTCGATTTCCTTTTCTGTAGTAATAATAATAATTTATACTTAATGATAGTTAAAAATAGTTAAATGTGAATTGAACTTATGATGTAAGTGATAAAGAAACATATTATCGTCAGTATATTGGTATAATGAATGTCGTAAAGATATACGCACTAGTTACGATTATCTTGTTGCTCTGAAGTTGGTACCTTGAAGCAGTCAATTTAAATTTGTATGTGTTTAAAATATTTATGAATGTTGGAGATAAAAACTGTGTGAAGTATCGCACTTAGTGTTTCTGTGAAATATATTACATGCAGTCGTACAAGGATTTTTTGGCAGTGAAGGCATTGATTATGCAAGGTAATACGATTTAAAAATAAACCTTTTTTCTTTGGAAATAGGGATCTTATTAGCAAGAACGGGTCAGACCACATGCCAAAATAAATTTGTAGCACTGCACTGCTGACATTTTAGTCTTAATTGTCATTTTAATATGCCGCTAACTTCAGAGCATAATATTTTAAGACTCTGTTATCAGATCGAAACTATTGGGTGTTGTGCAACAAGAAACATTTAAATTATATTTATATATATCAGAGGCTTTTAACATTTGATTTTATAAATGTACAGTTGATAAAGATTTATTTAAATTTTCACTTTCATAACGTGTATTTGAATTATTATATAACTGCAGTTAATGTCTTGCATTGGCAATGTACAAAATATTATATTACTATGTAACTAAGGATATTATACATTATACCTATTAATATAATATTTACTTACGTTAAAAGTGTATTTCGAAACAATGCAAAACAATGTTGTTGGATTTAACTAAATTACCTTATAATTTTTCATCGAAAACTTTTTGATGTACCTTTTTTTCAATTATCAATAAAATATATTAACAATTATGTATAAAATTGTTTTATTTCTTTATACTTTAGAAATTTGGACATCGTTAGGTTTTTTTATAAAAAAAAATAGACACCTTTACTTTGGAATAATATGTTCTGACTCAAACTTCTAAAATTTAAGATATCCGATTTCCACGATTTATCGTTAATTTTCTAAAGGAACATACAAGTACCTATGTATATAAAAATCTTAAATCGCTTTAATCTTAAAAATTTCAGGAGTGCAGAGCTGACAAAACTAAGATTTAAGAAATAAATTAAGTGCAGCTGCTATCCCATAACAAATAAAAATTGTCATGATCTACATACCGCACCACAGACAAAATAAATACGATAGGTCTGCTATATTATATGCAGGGCTGCCAGATTGTAAAATTGAATACAAATTATAACTAATCGGAGCATAAATAATGTTTTGTGTATCGCCTGCTTGGTAGGTATAAATGGATATACATAAAGATCCAATCTCAATTCACGCTCGATAGCGGCATATATTTCCGTAAGCATATAGCCGCCGTTTGCAATAAGGCCCCTTTAGTCCACTCTTGCCTCTATTACCTCCTGAATAAAAGGAGTGATATGTCTCTAAGATATAAGGTGACATTGTACAAGGCTGTACTGTACTGTATCCGACCGTACACGACCTACGCTAGCGTAGTCATCGCGCATTGTGCCCCCGCTCCCCTCCTAATTCCCATATCCACCGGCTACAGGCACGCGTTACGGGCGGCGTGCGCCTTTCTATATGAGGAAGGTCGATCTCCTCCACGACCTATAGCTCCTCACGCCATATCGACAAGGATAAACATAATTCCAACCCGTGCGTAAAAGCATCAATTGTTACCCCTTCCCGACAAAAAAGGCCCGTAGGATGTCGGGGCCTGACATGTCCTAACCGATCCGGAAGATCCAATCCCGATAGCTAATAACAAATTTACTCCTACCTGAATAGAGCTGTAAAGGCCATTAATGCCAAGAGCGAGATTCCAAAAAAAAAAACAATAAAAAATCTATCTATATAGTATTTTCACGTCAAAATAATAGATATTAATATTTTATGTATTTTTCTAACTAGGGGTCTGAATCTATAGATTCAGAGACCCCGTAGATGTGCGAACTACCAATAACCTATTTATTCACAAAATTTTTATCATTTTATGTATCAAGATAAATACTGTCAAACTGTAAATTTAGACGTATAGTGCGTTTCAAGAGATAGTTCCCTTCGCCGTTAGGTTAGTAGAACTGTAATCAGTGTTGCTACGAGTTGAAGAAATCAAATCACCAAACTCCGGGGTAGACTACTGCATACAGATAAATAACCTTCATTATAAGGCAGACATTTGGTTTAAAGATACATGTTTATTCGCACTCCGTGGGATGGGAAACTGGATAAAACTTATAATAACATTCCATAATAATCCTTCAGCCATAATGTCATAGTTATGGAACTCTACAAAGGTTAACGAGGTTGAAGGAAACATAAATCATGAAATTCGTAAAATAAAAAAGCGAATTTATTACGTCATTAATTTATTCTTTTACTATACGTGTGATCATCTAAAGGACCTACTCCATCTGAAACATGGCTTTTATCCGTATCATCAGATGTGTCGCTATCATCATCTCCAAATTCAATTATAAAATTATCAATTTCACTGTCTACAGATATGCCATCACGGTGATATTTATCTACTATTTTTTTCACATGGTCGCATTCCTTTTTCCACTCTTCAGCAGTTATACTTGAAAATGCTTCTTTCTTCTTCTTCTTCTGTCCTACATTTTTTACGGCACGTGACGTCGTTTTAGTTTATGACCATGTTTTACAAGCATTAGATCAGCTTCATATTTAATTGGTTCCTTGTCCTTTCACAATCTCATATAATTGAGCTTTTACCATTGTCGGCAAATAAGTAAGACCTTTACTTTTAATCCAATTCTGCATTTGATCTTTCGTACTAGATATAGTTGGTGCTTTGTTGACACCTATTGTAGGCATTGAGGAGGAAGATTTGGCAAGAACTTTTCATCAAGGCACTTATTGAAATTATTCCTGTTCATGTCGTCATGAAAGTCTCCCGATTTAGACTGGGATCTAAAAATTAATTGAGCATTGGGTATAAAACCAGACCATATTTTGCCAAGTGTTGAAATTTTGGTTGACGTACTAACAGCCACTTCTCCTTCTTTGGAAATTTTGGTAACAGTTTTTTTGGATATACCTGAATACAAAAATAATAAGTACAAACCCGGTATTTGGAATGTAATGTGAAAAACAAAACTTAAAATTTTTAATTCTTGTGAATTTAGGTAGTATGATGTATGATATTGTCGGGGATTTTATGAGTTTTTTATTCGAGACTGGCAATCCTATTTAGCTTACCTGTCATGGCGGCAACCCAAAATCGAACTAATTCATATGCAATTATTGGCCCTTTGTTTGATTTTTCTATTTCACAAAACGATTTCACCTTCAAGACCATCTCCCTTTCACCACTTTTTAATGTTTTTGGCATGATTAAACGCACAAAACTCTCAAAACTTCGGAAAAAAATATGGAACTCGACAAAGCGTGTTTACTGTTTGGTGTTTTGACAATCAGTGGGGCCAACATTACGACGAAGGGAACTATCTCGTGAAACGCACTATAACCGTATTGGCAACAGAACAAAAAAGGTAATATAGCACTGGTGGGAACTCAAATCTAAACATAACATGAAGTGATAGATTAAGCATGGCAAGTTATAATTATAAAAACAAACATTTGAGTTAATATTTTTTTGTTGAAACTATACATAATTTGATCAGTCAATAAGAGCACTTACGAGTCAATTGTCATTTAATGATAGTTGAAGCAAATAGCAGTGAGAGAACTGACAGCCACAGATAAGTTAGTAATATGTTTGACAGTAGTCAGTGTTAGGTTATGTCTTAACTCTTATTTAGATATTACTACTTACTAGGCTTGTTTACAAATCAACAACATTCTTACAAAGAATTCGAATTATTTTAATATAAGTTTCACCAATTCTCCACCTCTACTAATATTTGAAATAAGGAGAGGTATATAAGGTTAAAATTGTAATTCTATCGGTGTTGATGGTTTACTTCGAAATTCTAGCAGTTGCTAACCAACTCATCTAAGTAAAAGTTGTTATGTTTTTATAACTAAGAACTTTAAAATTATGAGTAATCGTGGTTTAACGAAGAAAGAGCTTGAGGAGTTAAGGAAGAAGGAGGAAGAGGAGGCAGCAGCTCATGTCAGTTACTTAATTGTTGCCACTTTTTCCACAAATTTTCACTTTAAAATCAATATTAGTAAAAATAATAATGTTATTTTAGTTTGAATAGAATATTTTACTTACTTTATGGCAACTTGCATATTACAAAGTACAAACAGACTTATTTTTTCTAAGATTTACAAAAAATAACAGTATATAATCGTGTTTTTATCGTGGATAATCAGTGTTACGCTCTGTACTATCAAGTATGTGTTTATCTGTCTTTACTTTTATAAAATGGGAATAACTTAATGTGGCCTTAGGTATTTAAAGAGTTTGTGGAGACATTCCAAGAAGTTCCAAGCAGCACCTCTAAAGTCTGGGTAAAAGCTGGCACCTATGATGCCGGAGCAAGGAGTAAGTTATACTTTTGTTTATCCATATTTCAATTCTAGAGATATTTTTTACTCGAGTAGTTTGAGAGAACTGCAATGTGCTAAATTCAAATCAAACTCATAAAAAATCTATAAAATGTCTATTAGTAGTAGAATATTCTTCTTATAGGTTCTTAAATAAATATTATCTGAGAGCTAATGTTTAATCTTGATTTTTTTTACAGAGGAAGATACATCTGAAAGGGGTAAGCTATATAAACCTATATCAAGGCTTGATGATAAGAGAGGAATTTCTGAAGCAGAGGTTGTTAGGAGTCTTGTTCTTAGACCAGAACCACCAGGTCGTCCTCGCAACAAAAAGGGAAATGAGAAGAAAAAAAGTAACTTGGAACTTTTCAAAGAAGAACTTAGGCAGTGAGTATTTATACTTCAAATTGTGTATTTATGTATACCCAAGCTTCATTATATGTTTGAATTCTTATAGTGTTCTAAATTGTATATTTTACTAGTCTTTAATACCACATTTAGAAGAAAAACAGCATTCAGCCAACATGGCTTTCTTATTCAATAATAATACTCTAGACTTTAACCTCAAATAGAAATCTACTTAACAATTACTATGGACAGTTAGATAAATGGCTGTTATTTTGCATATTTTAGTGTTCATACACTTGTTTCTTGACAACAATTTACTATTAAAACACATTATTTTAAAATAGAATACAAGAAGAAAGATCAGAACGCCACAAATATAAAAATGTTCTTCGTGACCGAGGCATAGCTGTTGCTGAACCTGTTGTTGATAGTATACCAGATGTAGGCTCCTATGATACTGGAGATCCTAATACTACAAACTTATATTTAGGAAATCTAAATCCAAAGGTAAGTTCTATTTACACTTAACTAGAAATGATGTGGGCATATGTAACAAAGCATTGTATGTATCCAGACTTAGTGTTAAATGAAGGTCTACTGTAAGTCAAATGTTTTTGATTTACGGAAGTCATATATAGTTTCAAGCAAGGCAGTGTAATTTTAATACCTCACTATACTATATACTACTACTGTTTTATGTAATATTCATATTAACATTGTATTTTTTCAGGTGTTGATCTTGACTATCACTTGTTTCTTAGTTGTAAATCTATTTAACCATTACAGATTACAGAGCAGCAGTTGATGGAGATATTTGGTCGGTATGGTCCACTTGCTAGTATTAAAATAATGTGGCCTCGTTCTGATGAGGAGAAGGCTCGGGGGAGAAATTGTGGCTTTGTAGCGTTCATGTCCAGGAAGGATGGAGAAAGGGCGCTACGCAACATTAATGGTAAGAGGAAATGACAGGTTGTCCATATTTTAATAAATTTCTAATCTCAAAACATTTGATGTGAGATTTTGTATCTAAAGTGCATAAACGAAGAGTTTGGTCCGATCAAAAAATGTACTTTGAAGAAGAAGAAGAAAGAAGAAGAAAAGAAGTTTTTCCTTATTTACAAGTCAAATAATAATTCTGTAACCTTTCTAGGCAAAGAGATAATGAACTACGAGATGAAGCTGGGTTGGGGTAAGGCAGTACTAATTCCGCCTGTGCCTATTTACATTCCGCCCGCCCTGCATAATCCCACTAAGCCTCCGCCGCCCTCGGGTCTGCCCTTCAACGCTCAGCCGCCCAAACACCTTGCTGATAAGGTATGATTTATCAAGTATAGAGTTATAGTTTATAGCTGTTATCAGTCTTAATCTAGGGTAGCTAGGGCAGACATTTTCATGTGTCTGTTTCATTGATTTTCATGGTATATAAGTCGCCCTCTATGTCTATTTGTGTGAAACATTTTGCCAGGGAGTCGAATCCAGAACTTTGTATTAGATCTGTATGTGTATGTATATTGAGACACGGAAATACATGTTTTACTTAAAACTTTAGTTTTTTTTAATGTTTCATTAACATCATCTTTCAGGTATTGGTTAGTAAGTATTATGTTAACAGTTTTCTAGAAATTAAAATAAAAAAAGTCGTTGATCATCATCATTAGCCATTGGTCAAGTATGAATAGATGAAAAAAGTTTTCAAATGTCAAATTTATTTGCAGGTCCCACGCCTTCGTCCAGGGGAATATTTTCCAAGTGATCCAGAAGATAAGACAATATATGAACAGGTAAAAAATAAATAATATTGTTACATTCATTATGTGTAGACCAAACCAATATCCGTAGTCTGTAACACAATAATGAAGATTTCATACATTACATTCAATATAACCTTGGTTTTTTAACAATAATAATAATTGTTGTTGCTGTTGTTAACAATAATAATAATTGTTGTTGCTGTTGTTAACAATAATAATAATTGTTGTTGCTGTTGTTAATATGTGTTAAGTTAGCTAAATCTTAGTACAGATGACGCTATCAAGCAACTTTGTGTAGGGATGTTCAAATATATTATGTTAAATTAAACTCTTTGTATGAAGATGTGTGTTGAGTAGCTTTAATCGTTTAAATTATGAGCTTATAACTAACATAAAAATAGGGGTAGTGCGGTTGCGATGCTAATAAAAAACTAACTTGGCTTACCCCCACCCCCAAAATTCGTTTACCTATTACTTGAACGCTCCCTTAGTTTACTTGGGCGTCGTCCGATTACAAATTATAGTAAAAACACAAGATTGGCTTGTGTTTTTACTATAATTTGTAATCGGATTGGATTAATAATAATTAATTACGACAATTATTAAATTAATTATTGGTTTCGTTATAGTGAATACTTAGGTGAAGGATATGGTAAAAATATACCATTACTGGACCAAGAAAAATTACAATATTTTGTTCACCCAGATTATGTTTATGCGTATACGCACCCACTTTTCACTTTTAAATATGAATTTCTTGTTTCAGATTCTGTCACAGTCAATAGTTAAAGTGGTTATACCAACAGAAAGGTATGATAAATATAAAAGGCCTATTTTGTCTGTCAATTGTATGTATTTTTTCTAGAAATAACTCCTAAATAGATCTGATAGTGATAATTTAGTCATCCAACGTTTTGTAGGTGTTTGACGTTTGATAGAAAATCTTAAAATTAAAAAAAAACTTGTTAGAACAAAGGCCGGCAACGCACTACGCAACTAATAGGTTAATGGGCTGCGATGACTGCCCTTTTTGGCGCCCCGTACGCTTATTTGACCTCCTAATCTACAAAAATAGAAAAAATAGTTAAAGACGTAATATAAGTCCCTTAGGGAATATTTATTATAAACAATATATTTGATACTAGTACACGACCCCAAGCTGTGAAGGATACTCTTTCATTTATCTCTTATCTTCCACTATTTTCCATCACCTCTATATCTTTTATTTCCTCTTACCAGGTTTCTGGTCCTCTCATTTTTTACATTTTCTAACGTTTTTGTATAATAAAACTTTGTAATTTTTTTCCTAATTATCCTGGATCAGACAGCTTTTTATTATTCCAAGATAAAATTGATGTAATTGATGGAAAAAAATAAATGATTTCTCTTTCACCACATAGTACAAATAAATTGGGGCTGTAAAAATAATATAAATATTTCGAAAATTTACGCCTTGATTTTGAGCACTAAATGACGCCTGCGCAGACTTTTAGAAGTGGAAAATCAGAACAGTATTACATGTTTACTGTTTACAATATCGCGTTGGATATATATATCTCGACATTCGTCACTCCACAACCAAGCGTTTTTAAGACTGTCTGGATAAAAAATCGAAAAAGCCGACAACGCACTTGCAAGCCTCGTCGCAATCTAAGTGTCCAGCACTTATCATTAGGTGACCCTCCTTCCCATTTGCCTTTATAAAATAATTCTAATAGAAACACCCTTGGGAACAGGTAGATGTTAAATGAATAAAACATGTTCCAGAAACATTTTAATGCTGATTCATCGAATGATTGAATTCGTGATTCGCGAGGGTCCGATGTTTGAAGCAATAATTATGAATAAGGAGATCAACAATCCGTTCTTCACATTTCTGTTTGAAAATCAGTCTCCTGCGCACGTTTATTATCGTTGGAAGTTATACTCTATGCTCCAAGGGGACCCGCCCAAACAGTGGTCGCCTGATGACTTTAGGATGTTTCAAGGTAATTTTAATTTTGAATAATATTTAAATCGAACAAGATGAAAACTTTTTGCGCATTGTAAATTATACCTTATTACAAAGCAATAAAGGTTCATGTGAATTGAAAGGATGAAAGAAAATCTCTTCTAAAAAGCGTTTATGCGCCTAGAAGGTATCAATAGTTCTAGAGAGTTCGGCTATTAGCAGATGGTTCTAAAAAAAATTATTCATGATTTTGTTACGAATTTTTTTTATTGTTCAATTGAACTAAAAAATAATATTATTTAAAACGTGTATAACAAATTTTAGATGTATTTGTACATTCTAAAATTGTTTATTTACAATACATGTAAATTGACAAAATATATTTGCTTGGAATAAAATATAAATTAGTTTATTTAGTATGAGGATATAATACAAGATTTTTGACAAGCTTTTTGACAAGATTTCAAAAACCATCACAGATTATTTATTAGTGACTAGAACCTATACATATTGTTATTCTGTTAAGCTTTTTTTTTTCCTTTATGGCTCTGGCACGGTTTGTGCATTAGCAAGCGTCAAGTTGATAAGCTTTTAAATCTCACAATAATTTAAAAATAGCGTCATTGTCTATGACGTAACATGCCAGTAAGCAAACGTCGAGTTTCATAGAATATTATTTATTATGCTATTCTTAAATTACACAAATACATATTATTTTTTAATCAAAATAGATAGCAAGGCGAAGACATTATTTCCAAGCATGCTACGTCATCGTCGATTCGTCTAATCTGTGACTGTTTTGTGTCACGTGACATATAAAAATAAAAAATGTATATATATCTTATTTTTATTTGTCATATATGTATACTACATAACGCTTTTTAAAGCTACATTTTTCTTTCAATAAAGCTCAGGTTTCCTAGAAAAGCGGTGCCGTTAACTAACGGCCGTCATTTTACGGTTGTTAAGCTTAGGTTTCCTAGAAAGCCGTCTCTACTTTTTAACATAACCTATAAAAACAATCATTTTCGGTCGTCTAAGTCACGTTCCACTCATGGTATTAATTAAATATGGCCACCGCTACACGCGACAAAACGTTGAACTAATGTTTATCACCGCTATGACGGCCGTCATGCAAATGACAGCTCCAGTATTTGACGTTAAGGTGACACTCTACGTGCTCTAGAAAACCTACTCCGATGTTATTTATAGATGACGTCACCCAACGTTACATTACGGCCGTTAGATAACGGCATCGCTTTTCTAGGAAACCTAAGCTTTATATACTTAATTTTTCATACTATCAAATGCCTCAATTAAGTATTCTAGTTTTATTTTAATAAAACACGAATATTCCTATAGGTGGTTCCGTGTGGCGTCCGCCAGTAATGAATCTCTACACAGCGGGAATGCCAGACGAGCTGGTGGATGAAGAAGATCCCAAAGACAATATACGAGGGACTCTTTCCAATAAGTCGGTTTCACAAGTATATTCACTTTTACTAGTTTAATAAGCGTTATTGCTATTGATGGGGGATAAATGCTCTAGACAGAGAGAGATAGAGAGATTGAGCCAATTCATATAAGATGATACTAGCAGACTCGGCCAAGCTTTGCTGTGGCTAAAGTTTTTGTTCTATTACATAGTAGTAAACTATTCAAGGGAAACGGTAGGAGAACACCAGTCATGGGGACCCATGGGGACCATGCTTTTTGTTTTGGGGGTTATGCCATTAAATTGTAGCTTATGTGAAACGTTGGTACTTTCAACACAGCGCCATCTGTTAGAATTGTGACTGTCAAATAATAAACAAATAATTTGCGATAAAATAATATTACGGGTATAAATGAAGATGTATCCTATCCTATCTTTTAAGTTAGTTCAAACTGCACACGGTATGCAAATTTGGAGTCCATAGCGGACAAACAACGTGACACGTAATTTATATATATATTAAGATAGAGCCTCTAGAAAACTCTCAGCCACACTCAAATACAAAGTGTGTTATACGCAACCCCTTTCCCTTGTTGTCTGTCTATAAAAAAGAGTGGCGGAGAGTTTATTGCCAGTTCTTCTCTTCCGTTCTACGGCCTTGAGTTGTGAACTGGCAGTAAATGTAAAATTAGAAGCATTTAATGTATATTTGACTTTTAAATCAAACAAGTCGTGTCAGATCTACCGTCACCCACAACACAGGGGCGTGGGCGTAGGGACTAGCGGTAGATCAATTTTGTCACACCCATATTTTGTTATCAATAAAGTTCATTATTATATATTTTATTTATCTAACATCTAACATTCTCTCTTCCAGCCAACGCGATCGTCTTGAAGACATAATCCGCCACCTAGCTCCAACTCGAAATAGTATAGGAGAGGCGATGGCATGGTGTCTAGAACACGCTGAAGCTGCTGGGGAAGTCGCTCAATGCCTTCTGGAATCCCTTTCGGGGGACGGCACGGCTCCGCATAAGAGAATAGCTCGTCTATACTTGCTTTCCGATATTTTGCATAATGCAGGTGCTAAGCTCACGAATGCTAGCGCTTTTAGGAATGCGTAAGTATCACCAGAGTTTTACCACCAGGAACCAATTCGACTTAAGGCCCTTCAAGAAAAGACCGTACCAATTCTCGAAAGGCCGGCAACGCACTTGCGAGTCTTCTGGCAGTGTGAGTGTCCATGGACGACGGCATCACTTAACATCAGGTGAGCCTCCTGCCCGTTTGCCTCCTATTACATAGAAAAAACCTGATCTGATATTGTATATTTGTTCCACGACTCAGCGTTTTTAAGGCAGATTTCGCCATGCACCACTACTATGTGGTGCTGCCCACTGTATTAAGTATTTCTGAACTAATTCGACTTAGGATCGTAAAAGAAAAGAGCGTACCAATTCTCAAAGGCGGACGGCGGTATAAAAAAAATGAGTATTTAGACTTTCGTGTGCTTCGTAGTATGTTTGTCCACAAGTTTCTTCAAAAGTCATTCAGTTAATCGGTCTCAATTGACCAGCACTTTTTTTAATATCTTTCAAAAGACTTTAATTTAAAAACAATGAAAGTAATTTAACAAATGACACAGAGCTGGTCATAAAAATCCGCCATCTTGGGTTCGAAGTTGTTTAAATTTTGTTGTTTATATCCCTTAACGCTGAATTCGGTTTATTAGTGAAAAATGTAACTTTTTAAGAATTGATTGGGGTTTTTGATGAGAGGTTTTTCTTCCTTCATGAAAAGGGCGTACCAATTCTTAAAAGGCAATTTTTGCAATGTTAAGTGATACGGATACTTACGTAAACTCTTGCCCGTTTGCCCCAAAATTTGCGTATAAAAAAGGGGGTAAATTAACACATTAAAGCTGTAGCATATTTTGATTTTGTGTTTTTTATTTTCTGTATGTCATTTTTTTGTAATATATATTGTTGTGTGTAAAATATATCGTACTTTCAAGAAATTTTAGTAAAAAAATATAAAAAATTTTAGTTTCCAACAACGCTTACCAGAAATAATGCGTCACTGCCACGTGGCGTGGGCTAATATGACGTCACGCATTCAGCAGGAAGGCTTTCGCACCCGAGTCACGCGGATATTACAAGCCTGGGCCGATTGGGCTGTTTACCCTACGGACTTGTTGATACATATTAACGATGTATTTATGGGACTTAGGAAGGTAAATAAAACGATTTTTGCGTGCGAGTGTCGATAAAGTTGCAATAAAATAACATTTGAAATGTGAATATGTCATTGTATATTTTTAAATAATAAATATTATGTGAAATTAGTAATTAATATGTATATACTACATATTCGAAGTAGGAAACTCTATCAACATAGGTGTATAAACAAATAAATTCGCGTTACGTTAAATGTGTCCTCTGTTGAGTAATAATACATTTTCTAGGGCGAAAGAGAACCGGTTGAAGCTAAAGAAGCATCAGATGGGGAAGAGGAAGGGTCTCCGAGGTCCACAGGCTCTGAAGGATCGTGGAGTGAGAGTGGGGGAGGGCCACTAGATGGCGCTGCCTTGAGGAGACTTGCCTCACAGCGAATGCCTGCGCCTGCGGTTGAAGATATTGATGGCGTGCCTGGTTTGTATTTTATTGATTTCCAAAATGGAGTTTATCAGTTGCGTGGGAGTATGGGGAATTTGAATATAAAGTTTTATTTAGACTTCCGAATTTCGAGATGTTTGTCGATATCTTATTAAACAGTATGTTTTAAAAGCTATCGTAATTAATTTTATGTTTAATTAAGTATTGTTTATTTGTTGCTATGTTTTAATTTAAAAAAAGCCATGTGCCAGGGTATTTATAATTATACTATATCTTGATGTAGAAATTTATAATAATAATGATAAGTCATTTATTTTCTCTCTTTTGAACCAAACTCAAAACGTCTTCGTGGAAGTTTAGGAAAATATTATTAAACTATTTTAGAGATGTTATCATACATAACCATTCGGTGCCTGTCAAATCAATGATAATCTATCTCTTGTAAACAAACAATTTGAACCAGTTTTCAGATCTAGAACGTTTTTAAGACACAGTATTCTGTTTTCTTCACTGAGCGTAACTAGATCTGTCAGATCAAGCTGTCAAACCATTTTCATGTAGTTTGACAACGCTCAAGACGAGATAATGATTTGAGATACGAATTAGAGTATGGACCATAATCTAGCCTGTAAATGTAACAATATAATTTTTTCATAATTTTCTGTAGTGGAAGAAGACATAGATGGAGTGCCATTAGAAGCAGAAGGCGCGGGCGCGGGCGCGGAGCGGCCTGCGGCAGGGTTCATTCCCTCGAGATGGGAAAGTGTTGAACCTGCGCAGGCGCACACTGATGACGAGGATCTTACACCTACCACGCCTACCGCGCAGAATGATAGGTGAGATAAAAAAATCTTGCTTTAAGCAATTGTCTAAAGGCTTGGTTATTTTTATAGTAATTAGAACTTTTATTTTACTAACAAGAACATTCCAACGCACGCATACATGAAACATACAAAATACTTGTTTTTTTTTGTTAGGTATTTACAGGAAAAACTAACAGTCATAAACAAAACAACATCAAATAATTGTCTAGGAATTTCTTTTATTGATAACGCCATGCTACATTTTATCGTGAGACACCGAGGGGCATTGCACATTGGATATTTGAGTACAAAATTAAAATAATCAAACATATATAAAGTAAAATATGAATGAAACATTCATGGAATGTGTTAGTGGTGATTTTATTTATTATAAATGAAATACGAAACATACAAACTTACGAGAATACTCGAAAATGTTGTAACTAAAAAATCTTAGTAATTCTAATTTAAACGACAGGACAAAACTAGCGTCTTGAAACACATAAAACTTAACACATAAAAGAATCTAAGAAATATAGTTATTTCTTTACATAAATATACATTTTTCTAGTATCGAATCTCCACAAGCACGTACAGAAGAGCGTACCTTAAAGCGAGAAACGCTTCGAGAGATAGAAGTGCGCGTGTTGAAGTACGCGGACGAGTTGGAGACCGGTGCACGCGCACGGCGTGCGGCACTTACGCCGCAACAGCAGATACAGCATTACAGGCGGAAACTTATTAAGAAGGTGGGTTTTTATTCATAGAAATGTATTTTAAAATAGTTTCTTATATATCTTAATTATAAAAAAATTGTTTACGATAAATAAGATTAATATCTTTTTTTTTTCATGTAAGAAATCTTCAGAACTACTATTTCTATTTAATACAAAATTTATAGTAAGATCTATAACTTAATTTGTGAATATCCCCAGGCAATCAAAGAGGCGAAGGAAACGTCTCCTGGCGCGCTGTCTCCTGGCCCAGTGCGGGACGAAGACACTCACTCCACCAGTTCAAGGAAGTCAAAGAAGTCTCGGGACCCTTCACTATCACCACCAATACATAAGCGATCTAGATATTCGTAAGGCTTTACAGAGAAACTAGCCAAAACTGTTATAATTTAAAAAAATCAAAAGAATAGAACTTAATAAAAAATAATTAAAAAAGCTACTACATTCAAATACCTACAGTATTTTTAAACTACAGATTTATATCTATACTCTGATTTTTAATTCCGTAGAATTCTGACAGCTATAATTTTTTGACATGTCAGAGATTACAAACCTTTTTGGCCGGGCACATTTTTCAATTTCAATACGAGTCTGAACATCTGAGTCCATACATACATTTTATTGTTAGTTAATGTATCCATTTTATTAAGCGGTGCTCCACATTAAAAGTGGTTTAACGGCGAGTTAACATTTAACATGAAAATTTTTTTTAAAAAGGTTTACTAAACCTGGAATTAGTAGGCGGTGATGTCAGCTAAAAAATAAAGTAAAGCAATTAAAGTTAATTCGATTTATTGTTCGTGATATTGAAATATTTGTAATTTTGGATTAGGTCACTTGAGTAAGCAAATATTTTCCTTTTTGTAGATAAAACATAAAAAATACGTAGCATTTTTTTTATTGTCCTCAAATAAGTCAAATTTGTCCCTTTTTCGGTGGAGAACTCGTTTAGTAGCAACACTTATGAAATGTCAGAATTCTGCCGAATGAAAAATCAGAGTATAGCAACAATATGACATTTGACGCTGATTCAAGATTATGTCTTAGTACGTTTTTTTTTAAATTGATTTATTTATGAATAATTTTTTTTAATTAATTTTGAAATTGTTCAAACCATTTCATTGACCTTAGTTATTAAGATTAAAATTACTTAATTTTCCAGAGACCGCAAATCAAGATCGCGTTCCCGATCGCGCGATCGCGATAGAGAAGCTGAACGTTCGCGGGAAAGGGAACGAGAGCGAGAAAGGGAGAGGGAGAGAGAACGCGAGAGGGAAAGGGACAGAGATAGGGAGCGGGACAGAAGACGCCGATCGCCGGCCACGCCCCCTCATCATCGGAAGCACTCGAAACACGCAAAATATAAATACTGAAAAATGTGAATTTTTGCTTCGGAACTGTGTTTGATATCCATTACTCGTGTAAAATATATTATTGATACTTACATTTTGTATTTTTTTTTAACTAGTTAAAGCACATACCATTTTTTTCTCGAATGAATATTACAAAAAGAGGTTTCGATGATGTATTGGTGTGTTATTTGAAGCATGATTATTTACGTTCAAAATTAAATTTTGAGTAACAAAAGAATAATAATGATTATTGTAAAATGGCTTTACTAATGTCGCGAATTGCTAAAACGATTTTTTACTGATTGATAAAATTACCAAACTTCTTGTAAATATTACATTAAACACCACTTGCTAATATGACCGATAAAGCGATAAGAGCCAGTAAAAATATACTACCCTACTACCCCTACTTGAAGGTTGCTTGCAAAGTCGTTCTACCGTCCAGAAGACGGTAACGATATTAAGAAGGCCCGGTTCGAGAGGAAAATGATGCACAGAACCAAGATATGACCGCTTTGTGAGTCAGGCATTGCGAAATCGTAAGGCGTCAAGTTTGGACCTGAAGAGGAGCCTTAAAGAAGTAAGAGGAGTAAAAGCCAGCTTTAGGACAGGGGGAGGCTTTTCGTTCCCAATATTCTCGACGCCGGTGCTGCGAAAACCATCAGAATGTTGCGAAGGCGCCATAATATTTTGGGCAGCAACTAATTCGACTGGACTAAAGAAAGTAGTAAGATCAGTGCAACCTGCTCCACAAAACAGCAGGGAGCTAAAAAGAGTCATTGCAGAGTGGGAACGTATTCCTCAAAACGTTATTGAAAACATCGTGGAATTCATGCCGAGAAAGATTCATGTTATGATTTTGTCAAGAGTGACACTCGTTATTAGGTTTTTACATTTGTTACTTTATTTAATTAAAAAAGTAAAATTATCTTGTCTTTATTGCCACCACTTATTATTTGGCCGCGTACATTAATTCACATAGTGCAAGAATTCACTTAACGCGTTATATACACGATTATAAGTACTTATTAAGCCGACTAAATTTACTGACAATGACTTTAGAACGCAACAATTATTATAGTCAACCTTAAAGGGTGTGCTATTACGGCCTTGTTTTACTTTTAAAGAGTAACAATTCCGCCATAGTTGTTCACACAAAAACTAAAAAACAGATTGAATATAAAACTATTCGTGTGACTTAAATCTAACCTAGGTACTTATTAGATTTCATATTTTTCTTAAATCTTATCATGAAATATACAAAACGCTTGCAAAAGCATTCAAAGGCAATAAGACCCGGACCAGGACATTATTCTAAATGCCCTAACCGATTGCCCGTTCACCATTTAAACGACTAAAAGCGCCTATATACTTCCCTAAAATCTATGGCAATATCGGGTCAATGGTGGTGGGGATGAAATCGGTTCGTAGTTCGAATTGGCACTTGGCAGTAGCATACTCTACACACGAGGCGATCTAGGGTCCCCACCACTTCCCCGATGTTGCCTCTGATTTTAAAGCCGTGTGTATGCACTTTAACCGAATAACGAAAAGTGCAATGATATACGGCAAGGTAACAACCGCCATAATATACTGTTTGTCATTCTCTTAAAATGCTTGGTATGGTTGATAACAGCAAAACAGATATTTATCGAAATAAAACAAAATTATTTTGTATCAAATTTATTAGCATATTCTCCAAATAAAATTCAAAACAAGCAAATTAAACCGTACATTGTATAATTGCGAATAAAATAATTTCATTATTAATACTTTCTATAGCAATATAACACTGATTAGATACAATAAAAATATATTGTCTGATGCACTTAGCTATTACTTTAATCTATTGTTAAGCTTAAAATTCATCGAATAAAACAATTTAAAATATTTCGTTCTAGACTTGACTAGTAATTAATGCTGAAGAGATTCAATCGAGCTAAAAAAGCATTGCATGAATTCCTATAGATAAAATCATATAACAATAAAATCCAGCTAAATATTTTACTAAACAAATATAAATCATTAACTTAAAACCTAGATAATCACTCAATAAGCATAGCCTGTAAAAATAATCTAGATAAAACAAAAAATGAACACAGACACAAAAATAATACTGTTTTAAATAGGTAAGTTTGGTAATTCACAATCGACCAATCAAATGAATCATATCTGCTTAAAATTTAAATTGTCTTTATTAGTTTAGTCTCATTGTTTAATAGACGTTATTTTAATTCTATTCGGACATGGGCAAAGGTATTCAAAAGGATGACCTAATAACTCCGCTATACTCGTAACGATGATTTTCATACATTTTCATTTCCGTGGGAAACTCGGTCAACTCGCTAACCTCATATGTGACTCTTTCAACTCGCTCTCTCCGCGCCACTCGTCTCCGCTTTGGTAGAAGCACATGTATGAAAATCATCGTTACGAGTATAGCGGAGTCCGTAATGGGTCCGTTCCGCTCGCATTGGAAGGCGGGCATTAAAGATACCGCTAGGTACTTTATTACAGATTATAAAATTATTATTAATTATACCAATTCACCTCCAGAGTGTAAATATTAATAAAACCTAAATCTATAAATCGCTATTACTACCCGTAGCGCAGGAATGTATAAAAATATAATTGATGATCCATCACAGACTACATTTTGTCAACTCTACTTATATTTATCGATTACATAGTTAAAAATCTAATACAAAAACAGGTTAGAAACTAAAAGTCTTATGACGCTTAACTAAGTCTGTCTCATTCATCACAGTAATTAGAAAGAGACAGCGAGTAGTTAAGTTAAAATACTGTTATAAGACCGATTTAATGATGTGTTCAAAACATTGATATAAGAAATGAGGTCTTGTGCGTAAAATTTGGCAAAAGCTTGGCTATTATAATATATAATTGTAACAATATATATTACTACGATTGCGTTCGCAAAAGGACGCCAACCAAATTAAAAACACGCTATTATTGATAAATTAATATATTATATTATGAAGATATAATGATTAATACAAATTTTCACCCTATGAATTTAATATCTAAGTTTCATTTTGGGACTAATCACAGTTGATCGCTAAGCGAAGGCGTTAAGATAAAAAACCGCCTGAATTTTATTTTCTATTGAAGGCCATGTAGCTTAATGTACATAGTACATAAGGCAAGCTTCGAATATTACATCAATCAACTTAGCCAATAGAGATCAAATTAGAGTCGAACCAAATCGTGACAGAGTTAAAAGTGTAAGATTTTCTGATCTACCGCCATTAAATGTTTGGACTGTAATTTGTATATAAAAAAAGTACATGATTTTATTTAATAAATCTGTCTTATGATTTAGAGCCTCTATACGTACTCAAGGAATGTTAAGACTTGATTAATTGACGAGACGATATTTTAATTATTTCATATTTAGTCGAAAGTCGTCATATAACAATCCCGAAAAATTTCGAGTAAAAACAGTAAATTCAGTAGGAACTGCTGGAATGGATATCTTTATCCGAATTCCGTCACCTCCATGCTCGACGAGTTGGTGTTGAAGGTCCTGTGGTTTCCGAATGTCATCTGTTTGCAAGTATACGGAAGCAGCGTACGCGTCCGCTACTGTACGAACAAACGTATACGTTAATGCGTACGTATATAGAATGAAATTAAAAACAAAAGACAAAAATATATAGATAACACAGACAATAGAGAAAAGATGTATAAAATTGAAAGACACGAGCCTCACGCTATACGAAAAATTTAAAAATAGGATTCTAATAGTGAACTTAGAAATATGGAGTGAAATCGTCTATAAGAAAAAATATCTAAAACGTATAGCGCAACACTGAAAGCTAAGTCATAGATGCGATAAAAACGTGAGAGAAAATCTACGAAGCTATTAATATCACACAGACAAGTTAGTTACGAGGCAAAATGTGAATTTAGATTCAGATGTATGTTTTCGAGATACTATGATTCTCCCATTAAAACGGGAACACTATCAATATCAACTACTTGAACAGGATATAAATTTCTAAGAAATATAGTCATGTATCAGAATTTCAACATATAAAAGTGCAATCACAAAAAACAAAAGTGTAACTAAACTAAAAAATAATATGACACTAAGAATCCAAAATTTGAACTTCTCAAACACACAGATATGAACAGTATATCTTACAATGAAAGGAGCACTGACCAATCATGATTTAATTAATTCTAGGCATTTGACATTTAGCTAGAAGATACTAAAAGTGTAATTGAATCGACTATAAATAGTGCTGAAAAGAAAGTCCAGAAAATACAAAACTTCCGGTAACGAATGTTTTCGATTTTAGCGGACTATTGCTAAGCGTAATGTTAGTAATGACAAGTGGTGAAGCGGCGACGGCGTGCGCAAGCTAGCTCGGGGTTTGGTATACTTACCCTAACATTCATTGTGGCCAATAATTGGAGCGAATTGTGTAGTGTTATAAAAATTTTGGAAAATTGAAAAAAAAAAATACCTTGTGTTTAAATTTATGTGGTGTATGTGTGAGAAAGTGTGTTTGTGTCTGTGTGAGTCGCTCACGGGTCGAGAAGAACTCTCCAGGCGCGCACTTCGCCGCCGCTGCAACACACTCAGATATTAAAACTAATTTGTATAAATGTTAATAGTATTGTCGTATTTAATAGTTATTTCTAAATTGCTAGTTAGAAAAGAAATTTTTTTTAATGAAGGTTATTCAACCATGATATATTCTAGCCTTTTACGAGCCAAGTTCGTAGAATATATTGAACATGTATTCAGACCCAAACTCAAATCTCACAAGTTCTGTTAAGAACATTGCCACAGACAGCGCGTTAGGATTGTTTTTTTTTAAACGGAGCAAAGGGGCAGGAGGCTCGCCAGATTTTAAGTGAACGCCGCCCATGGACACACATTGCCAAACGGCCCGCGATTGCGTTTCCGGCTTCCGTTTCCGTTTTCCGGACTCTGGTCGTATTGGTTCGAAAATACCTCGATTGTTACTTAAGATTTTCTCATAAGATGAATTCAGAAACATTTTCCCAAAGTACCAGGGTGTCACAAGAAGATCTCACCTTCCAGCGGTATAAAGCGATCCGGTGGCACTGCAGGCGGCGAGTGCGTGAGGCAAGTCCGGCAAGGGGGCAGGTGGCGCTGCCGGCTTCAGCGAGGGAGTCCAAAGACGCAAGGCCTGATCGCGCCCACAACTGGCGATCCACCCACCAGTGTTGTGGAGTCCCCCTACTCCGCAAATGCCGGTCACCCAGCCTTTGTGAGCGTTCATTACACTCTGAAACAATATATATGCTATCGTAAGAAAGAAAAGGTTTTTTCTGTGTTTGTTTAAGTCTCTGTGTTTGTAGAGTTCGCAGTGAGCCCATATCTCATTGGCTTAACACACACACACACACAATCAATATATATTGTTTATATATAAAACATAAAATAAAAATGGTAGCTAGCTTTAAATTGAACTTACATGAACAAGCGTGTTATCAGAGAGCCTCCAGCACTTAAGACTGGAGTCCCTCGAAGCGCTGTACAGCAGTTCCCCTCCACTGGAGCTGTTTCGCAGCACCAGAGCCTGTACACCATCGTAGTGGGGCGGTTCCAGGAGACGGCGGTTGCTCGCTTCCCATACACCTGGCATGTACAAAAAGGCGATATATGGGTAGTAAGAAATTGTATTTTAGAAGCCATTAAAGACAATTATAATTCTACCAAGGGTATGACAGAGTAGAACATTTGAGGAAACTGTCGCTCATACAAATATTGATCAGAACTTTTCTACTTAACGTGTTGTTCGTGGTAAGGTTTTCGTGTTTTCCGTGTGGAAAAATAAATGCAATGTTTCGAAGTATATCTTGGAATGTAGGGAATAAATTGTAGTTACTTTATTAGATTTGTTGTAGTCAAGGGCAGCAGATAAGAATAAATCATAATAATTTTCAAAAACCTGTGCTCACACACCGGGATCATAAACAGATCTGAAGTAACCAGTCCTAATAATAATAATGCATTATATAGTTCCACTCACCATTAACATGTGTCCAATCAAAGACGCGTACGCAGTGATCTTTAGAGCCCGTAGCGAGACGATCGCATTGGGGCAAAGACATCCGAACCATACACATTACGGGGGCTGTGTGGCCTGACCATGTCTTGTACACGCATTCCAGCCTGTAATTGTTTTTTGTGTTATTAAATTATAAATAAATATGCCTATATTATTACGAACTTTTAAAAACGTACATTGTTAAAAGATTACAAAACCGCAGAACGGTTGTAGGACAGTAAAAAATAATATATAAGCGACTACTGTAATGACTATTAAGACATTTAGTGCCTGTTTTTTTTGCAAAAGAGTTTTTGAAATACCTATTAAGACATTTAGTACCTGTTTTTTTTGCAAAAGAGTTTATGTAATGACTATTGAGACATTTAGTGCCTGTTTTTTTGTAAAACAGTTTATGAAATTACCTATTAAGACATTTAGTGCCTCCTTTTTTTTTGCAAATGAGTTTATGTAATGACTATTGAGACATTTAGTGCCTGTTTTTTTGTAAAACTGTTTATGAAATACCTATTAAGACATTTAGTGCCTGTTTTTTTTGCAAAAGAGTTTATGTAATGACTATTGAGACATTTAGTGCCTGTTTTTTTTTTTATGAAATACCTATTAAGACATTTAGTGCCTGTTTTTTTGCAAAAGAGTTTATGTAATGACTATTGAGACATTTAGTGCCTGTTTTTTTGTAAAACAGTTTATGAAATACCTATTAAGACATTTAGTGCCTGTTTTTTTGCAAAAGAGTTTATGTAATGACTATTGAGACATTTAGTGCCTGTTTTTTTGTAAAACAGTTTATGAAATACCTATTAAGACATTTAGTGCCTGTTTTTTTGCAAAAGAGTTTATGTAATGACTATTGAGACATTTAGTGCCTGTTTTTTTGTAAAACAGTTTATGAAGTACCTATTAAGACATATAGTGCCTGTTTTTTTGCAAAAGAGTTTATGTAATGACTATTGAGACATTTAGTGCCTGTTTTTTTGTAAAACAGTTTATGAAATACCTATTAAGACATTTAGTGCCTGTTTTTTTTGCAAAAGAGTTTATGTAATGACTATTGAGACATTTAGTGCCTGTTTTTTTGTAAAACAGTTTATGAAATACCTATTAAGACATTTAGTGCCTGTTTTTTTTGCAAAAGAGTTTATGTAATGACTATTGAGACATTTAGTGCCTGTTTTTTTGTAAAACAGTTTATGAAGTACCTATTAAGACATTTAGTGCCTGTTTTTTTTGCAAAAGAGTTTATGTAATGACTATTGAGACATTTACTGCCTGTTTTTTTGCAAAAGAGTATACAGACTCTACTATGAAAATATCACCTGCCTAATAAGACAAAAGAATTTACGCTAGTTTTAAACAGAACGTCCTACTAATGTAATATAATACATACATTCGTAAATCCCAAACGCGTAATTTGTCTCCCGCAGCCGTGTAGAGTATTTGTGGTTCAGTCAACGCAATTGCTGTGATACTGGATTCGACGCTGCGAGTTAGCGCTTGGTTTGCACCCACTGCGCCGGAAGACCTGGAAAAGTTACATTATTAACATCAGCTGATTGGCTAACGGTCACGTTTCAAGGCTGATAAATTGTTTTACAAAACCCGTGAAACAAAAAAATCAAGACGCCATCACGATTCTCTTGAAATCAGAGCATAATCATAATCTATATTCAAAAACACTTAAGCGAAAACTCTTCTAAGTAAGCAAAAATACCTAATATTTTTTGCGAGTGCCATTGTTACTAAGCTACGGAGACAGAGGTTATATGCATGAAAAAACTATAGCCTCGAAAATAATATATAGTCGCAGTTTACAGTTACGTGCATAAGCTCATCAAAAATGTTTTAATGTGCATTTTACTTTATATATAAGATTTTAGAGGATATAAGGGTTCTATAAATGTCAAATATTTAGTACTCACCATAGAGTAGCCACCGGTGCATGGCTCCTGGTATCAAAGAGTCTGACAGCGCATCCGGCTGCCGCGATAACTACCCTAGAGTCATGTCCAGTCACGCCCTGACCCGCGCTGAGGGCATTGACCCCGTACCCACACCATGCTCGCCACGCCTCCCGACCCACGTTCAAATCCCAACCACGGACTGTGCGATCTAATTCATAAATAATTTTCTATTCAACTTCAATCACTATAACATTTTCTATTGCCATTGCAGTCATGATAATATTTATGACTCTTATATTTTAAAATCTGCCACCTTATAGCATAATATGCCTCTTTCATATTATATTCTTCCTCTTGTATAGCATGATCTTTCCCTTTTTAACATAATCCGTCCCTTTATAGCATAATCTGCCTCTTTTATAGCATAATATGCCTCTTCCATATGAATAATATGCCCGTTTTATAGCATAATTTGCCTCTTTTATAGCATAATCGGTCTCTACTAGCTAATTCTGAGACAGAAGCTCACCAAGCAAGAATTGAAAACGTTCCTAAAATACCGGTAAAGTATCGGTATTTATGGGTAACGAACATACTACCAGTATCCTCCTCAATCCTAATAGAAGAAAATAATTCTGTGTTTCATATGAAACAAAACCCAGAGTACCAATCGCAAATCACTTACCTACTCCTCCACTATATAGAGCATTAGGCACTGCTGCTAGAGCTGAGACGGCCCCAACGTGACCCTCAGCCACGTGCGTACATTGCAGCCATGTGCCACCCCCCATTGCACATGTGCTTAGGCGTTGCTGGAATAAGTAAGCGTTTTATCGATTAAAATTACCATATTACTTTTGTGTAAACTTAAATGTAAAAAGGCTTTGCATTAATTAGGCTCTGAAACTTCTGGAGCAATATGAAAAATTCTTTCACCATTCCAATCCCTAAAAAACATAGACAATATTTACAAAAAAGTTTTCTACATACGTAGTGAAACAAATGCGTATATCGCTGCGGATACTATTGCCAATAGAGCAAAGCGTTGTATTACAGTTTTATAGAAGACATCAATATCGATACTATTGTCTCACTATTAAAGTTATGTCATAATAATTACTATTTCATATTTACGTGACAAAATATGCAATAGTAACGCCGGTACAAACTAGGCCAAATTTTTCGTATTTGTTTTCGTAAAGAGGATTTGTGACTGGACCGATGTCCAGTAGTTTTTGAGTTTTTTAGAAGACTTAATCTGAGTAATTTAGGCTATATTTATTTTGCAAAATATTTCAATATTCAACCACGCCAAGACGGACCAAGCTTTTAGTTTACGTATAAATATAAAATGGTCCTTACATAAATAAAATTGTAATTTCTTTTTGCTACACATAAAAAGTTTGTAGGCGGTCACAGTTCTTATTAGTTTTTAATTTCGTGTATTTTTTTATTTTATTTTTATTTATATAATAGGGGGGCAAAAGAGCTTGCGGGATGACCAAAAAGGGCAGTCTTCGCAGCCCATAGACACCCATTTTTAGTGGGTGAGTTGCCGGTCATTGAGGGAGGAGTACACTCGAGTTTTATGTGTGAAACTCAAATGTCTACAACTAACATCAATAAATGTTATCAGTTAATCAATATTTACCTTAAGAGAGAGAACTTTTACGGTCCCAGTAGGCGCCTGTTCAGAGGCGACTCCAGCCAGTCTTTGGAATACATCTTCATCCCGCGCCCGTCTTGCTGCACTTGGAGACGCCGGTGGAGTATTCTCAGACGCTCCACTCGCATCTCTATATCCATCATATGTTATTTTTATGGATTCTAATTGGTTTTGTCTCCACTGATCTCTTTTGATTAGAAATTATTTAGTGATCGGTTTTTACATTAACTATACTTTACACAGGATTTTTAAGACTTTACGCATCAACATTTTGATATAATATTAAAACTTTCACGAATTGTGTTGTTCTTAAGTGATACTTTTATACAATATATATTTCCACGTACATTTATTTCAAATTCAGAGAATATATTCAAAATATCTAGCTGAATTAGAAAATAATATATTTATTAAGGAGACACAATCGCAATCAAATCTTATCCTTTAAGATCAATGGACACAAAATAATGATTTCGCAAAATATGTCGACAACAAACCTTTAGTTAAGAACCCTTTCAGGGTTCCTAAGCCAATGATAGCATGACATTATTTTTGTTATTTAATTAAGCTATACGTGCAATAAAACGAAAAAATATCAGGCATTAGTCTAAGCGTTTAATGGATTAGTCACAATAACATGATTATGGACATATTTTGACAAGATTTACGTGATAAAATATGAATTAAATTAGCTAATTGTAAGGAAAGCTTCTTTTTTAATGGTTCTTGATGACGTTGGGATGGCTATAAATAGCAAAATTTGTACTTACATTAACTGTTGTTTAGAAGGTTTAACATAATGAAATCTCCTTCGTTTTTTCTCGTTAATAGTTTATTTAGAGCTTTCTAAAAGGAGCTGTCAAAGTACATAAAATATGCCTCATATCTCATGTGTACAGTGCATCATGCAAGAAAGCAAACAACACATACTTTTGCATATACTTTATTTACATTGCTAGGTCATCCTTACTTAATTAATGGCGTCTCTCTGATAAAAAAACAATAAAAGTTAAAACCATAGCCGAACAATCTAATCAGAAAAAGTAAAATCATTATGAGCAGCACCTGTTTTTAAAAATAGCAGTAAACAAATTTACAACGCATAGGCATTTACAAATAACCCAGTTAACAATAAACCTTCGTTCAGCACCAATATATTCAAAATTAAACTACAGTTAGTTACAACCAAAGGTAAAATACAATAATTAATATTCGAACTTTGGATAATAGAACAAAATTATTATTTATCATTAAATTTGATTTAATTCCTTCATTGTACGTGTGTTATATTTGCTATAAAGTGGCCTTCATGTCTTGCAGTGGTGTCGTCAGTCCTCCACTATCGAAAGGTCGGTGAGGAGGCTGTAAGTACCGAGTGTGTGAACAGGTATACCCACTACACCCCGCCTACAAACTGTGTATATGCAAGATTTGTTATATCTTCCCTTGCGTTTATCGCGAAACTACTTTTTCAACGGCTCTGTATTGTCATTCTGGCCAGGCAAATTAAGTAATCACGGGTCGTTTTAACTTTTGGATAATAATATCTATAATTTGGATGCGAACGTTTAATATTCTTTGACATTGATGTACACAATAAAACTGTTTAAAAAGAATTATCAACCCAATTCTGACCCTTGAAACACGACACACGAGTTAAATCTTGCATACACAATTCTGAACCAGTGCCTACAGCAGCCATATCAGAAAATTATTTGTGGCAAAATTCATTTTGGTATTAGATGCAAGATTTGTTAGATGGATGACTTTTGACTTTTTAATTAACCGATGATAACATGAAGGGAAAAACAGATTTTTTGAGATATGTTTTATAAGTAATTATGGCCTGCAGATTTAAGGTTATGCTGACTCATCCAAGTGATACCTAAAGCTTTCTTATGACAGTATTTAATCGAGTAGAATCCGAAGATGTTAGGAGTTGCAATTAGTTTTTTATTGAAGAGAAATGATATCGGCAAGAAATGGAATAGCAGGTGATCAAAAGCATTACGAAATGTCATATTTTAAATAAAACATTTTACGAACGAATTAATACATTATCTACATATTTTGAAGTTACGATCGCGTTTATGTCCTTTAAATATTTGTTAATCTAGTTCCCGCAGATGAAGACAATTTTAATTATTTATGTTTTATTGTATAGTTGATTTATGTGGTTCGCAATATTGTACATGAGTCTGTAAAATTAAAGCTTTTATAATGTCACAAATAATTTTCTTATATCCCATCAAATATAGCACATTAACCCAAGCGAGTGTCATGCAGGCGAAAGGTAGAGGGCATCACTAACTACTACATGCTTACATCTACGAAAATAGAATCTAAATTCTAAGCAAAAAAACTAAGTTAAAAAATGTGCAACAAAACTAAATAATTATTTTCAAAAATTGAATCAAATAAAAAAGGGGTACATAGTATAACTTACAAAGAAGCTGGTTTCGCCAAAGAGTGCTGTCTTCTGATTGGCCGGGGGCTTTCAGGTGGCGCTCGGCGATTGGCTACTGGAGATGACAACTGTGAGTTGATTGGTTGTAGTCCTCTGGAATTTTACCACATAAGTGTAATGTACGTGTACGCTTTGAAGCAGGAAGGTTTGGTGTGCATTAGGAGAGTTGTAAATTAGAGTTTTCAGAAGGAAAAATTACAAAAAAAGCACAAAAGAATTATTTATAACGTAAACAGCAAACAATATTTAGTAGCCGGGTTTTTACAAGAGTGACAGCAGCAAGTTATTATCAAAAAACCGTTTCTTAGGCAAAGGCAATTCAATTTCAAGTCATGAGAATAAGATGAAGACATTGATTTAACTTGTCTTGTCTTTGACATTAAGACACTAGCGATGTCCAACCCAACATTAGGTTATAACTACAATTATGTAGTGTTATGCATTATAAATTGTCTTTGGATTGTTTAGCAGGACTTTTATGGACTTTTATTATTATATGTAAGTTCTAACCAATGTTCACTAGATTTTGTATATTTTCTCATAATATTTTAAATAAAGTTATTAAAATAATATCTATTCTAACCGTATACTATTTCTGACACATACCCACATTCAATTATTCTATAAAGGCAAAGGTAACTACTATAAAGGCTGTTTATTTTACCTGAGACTACCAGGCGCACTGGGAACTCTGCTGAGAGGCACTGGTTTTGGAGACGTCGGTTCCACTAAAGACTGGGTCATCGGGTCCACGTTCTCATCCCGACTGTATACACCTAAGTCCCGCAGACGAACGGAACCACGACGTACCCTAAAATACATAATACTTATTTTAATTTAAAAAAATGTAAATGCAATCAAAGGTCATATTCAAAGCCAGAATTTCTTCATAATTCTTTGTCACCGAACCAACCTCTGTAGAATAAAAAAAGGGTGCGTGTACTTATGTACGCACGTAAGAAGTTATACTTCTTTGGCGTTATTAAAAATAGTTTTTGATTGCATGCAAATAATTAATTACAATTAAATAATCAAAGACTGGAAAAGGAGTCATTATACTCAATAAAGTTCAGTTTACATTTGAAAAATTTAATAAATATATATTTATTATTATTCTCTTACATTAAGTGTAACATAAATTCTATTATTATTCGAATGTTGTTTTTAAATTATGTCCAATGCCGTAGCATCTTCCGTGGGCAACTTCATACTGATAATTTTGTGTCACGGTGCGCGCGCATCGTAAAATTTCACTCTCATCAATTTTTCATAACGCGCCTAAAGAAGTATAACTTCAAAAAATCTTTAGCAAACTTACGTGTTTCTCTGGAATGGTGAATTATCATCAGGCGGAGATGCAGGCGCAGTGTTTGTTTCTCTCACACCGAGCACTGGAGGGCGAGTGTCTAATAGCGAGCTGAAAATATAAATTAAATCATACTAGTATAATACTAAAATAAATAAAACAAAAAATCACTGCCAAAGGTTTAAAAAAAAAAAATGAGTTAACTTGGGTTTTATTAAATACAAAATTGTTATATTAATATTTTTTGCTAAGACACACCTCATTATCCTTATATTTATATTTTATACCATAGTTTCAAACAAACGAGATAAAATCTGGATGTGTGTATCCGGCTCGAAGGACCATGTAGGAAATAGGGGTTACTTATTGGCAAGGCATAACAACAAAAGTGCACTATAGAAAACTGTATAAGTAGTTTAGCGATATTATTTAAAAGATTATGTTTGAGAATAGTAATGTTGCTAAATATTTTAGATTTTAGTAGAGAAAATATTATCCACACAATGCAATTGATTTAAATAAAACGAAGTAAAAGCCAGTTGTTACCTGTCAACAGGTGAGACAGATCTTGTAGAAGTACCAGAAGAGACATGAGCTAACAAAGCAGCAAAAGCCTGCGAATTGTTCCACGGATTCAAGTTATTTTCGTCAGCGGCACGCAATGCACTGGCTGTTTGTTCACATTTCTCTTCCACCTGTAAGAGTATGAAATCCGGGTAAAGTCATAGTCATGCTTATGTTTACACCAATTTTTGCAGCCATATGGAAAGGATTCTTGCGCCAGCGTAGTATAATCACGAATTTAAAGAAAATCGTGTATTTTTAGTAAATTTCTAAATACAATATTGTAACAAAGTGTATTTAGAAATTTGTGTATAGTGTTGCTTTTGGTGCTGTAGATTTTGTAAAATACACAAACGAAAAACAATTGGTTTATCATTATTTCTAAATATAGTATTCTGGTGCCGCAACAATTCGAGGAAACTCAAAAAAAGTTATGTATTTCATGTTCTCTTACCTCAGCAAGTCTAGCCCGAGTGTCGAGAAGAGTCTTGCCATTTCTTGCCGATTCATGGGCGTGTTGTAAGGCCACAGCCGCCAATCTCTCTAACGTGTATCTTGCCGCCTCACACTCTACCTGTTCCAGCACTCGAGGGAGCTCGTTTTCTTCGTTCTCTTCCTGTTAATGAAATAGGACTTCCATGTAAATCTATGGTGGATTGTGTTGAGGTGTTCTTTGATTTTCTTATTTGGTGATTACGTCAACACTAATTATTTACTTTTTTACATATATTACCCACACATTGTCTATGCTTGAAAATGAATTGCATTATCGAGGATTCCTTCAAACACTTAATACGCTTTTTTCCTGACAAGGGGGGGGGATTGTAATCTTACGTAATACTTGAACGGCCCCACTAAGTAAGTAGTCAGTCTAGTAAAAATTAGTTGTCTGACCTCAATCTGCATTATCTGCGACTGTGTTTCCGCAATAGCTCCTCTTAGGTAGGCGAGTAGAGCCTTCGAGTCCGGGTCGTTGACCTGTGAGGCTCCAACGGTGTCTCTCTGTTTCAACTGGTGTTCTAGGGTCACTTCCAACTCCGCTAACGTAGTACGAGCTGCGCAGGCGCGGGATAACCAACATTCCAAACGCGACCAAACTTCACGGCCTGTCATACGGGCTCGCCCACGGTTGCGATCTGAATTTAACGAATAACATTGTAAAAGATGAATAAGTGAGTTTCTGGCCATACTGTCATCGGCATTTTAAATATAGTTTTTTGGCCATAAAGTTTATCACCGCTATTAGCAACATTGTTTTATAATTTGAATTTTCGACTTTATTTTCTTGTATTAATGTATAATACATAAAAATCTCGTAACGAAAGCTTTTAAAGAAAAAAATAAAATTATAATTAATCAGGAAAACTTTTGTAAGATTTCATTAATATTGTTATAGATTTGTTTCGGAACAAAAAATTACGCAAATATTATACATAGCGAAACACAATAATCACCATGCAGTCGTCCAGCTGCCCTACTGCTAAGTTTATCCCTGTGCCCGCGACGGAGTAGTGAAACCTCTTCTTGTTTCCTTTTCAACACCTAATAAATAAAAAGTATTTTAATAATACAAAATTTAAGTCATACACACTTATCATACACGTAGCATTTATCTTAAATAAAAAAAAACATAGACACAATGTTAAGGAAAATATAGAAATTATCGATAATTTACTAGGAGTCAAGTTCCATTTAAGAAGTGCCCCTGATACACGGCAGTTAATATCTAAGACTAAAATTCTGACAGCTATCAGTTTTTGACATGACAGAGATGGCAAACCTTTTTGGCCGGGGCACATTTTTCAATTTCAATACGAGTCTGCACATCTGAGTCTATACATACATTTTATTGTTAGTTAATGTACCCATTTTATTAAATGCGGTGCTCCACATTAAAAGTGGTTTAACGGCGAGTGGTAAATACGTTCCTTATCATTACAGTAAAAAACGCACAAGTAAAGATACAATTTTATTTTTTTAAAAAGGTTTACTATTAAACCTGGATTTAGGAATTAAAAATCAGAGTATTTTATTTATTCTTTCGTCCCTTTCTATCGAATTGTGTTTATCCTGACATGAAAAGAGATGAGTATTAAAATTAAATTTTACTGACTAATTAAAAAAGGTAATTATTATACCTGTTCTTTTAGTTTGGTCTCCGCTTCTAAGTTCCTTATTAAGTTGGCATTTTTGCGAGATTCTTTTCGTAGCTGGGCTACCTGAAAGAAAAATAAATAATAGTGTTTAGTTATTTGTCAATCAATTGGCATTAAAACCTAACCGTTACATAGCAATAATATTAATACTTCTTTGGCTCTAGCTGCTTCTGCTTGGGCGTGTCTCTTTGATTCCATCCTCATCCTTTGTACTAGTTTCACCTGAAAATAAGATAAAGTAACATTAAACAATGGAATTGCGCAGGCACCACTGTTCACAATTTATCTATGAGTGTATTACAAAATACTTTATAAAACCGAATTCTAAAAAATTTATTACATTTTACATTTTCGTAAAATATACGTAACACGTCGTGACGTATTTTACAAATACACGCCCGTAGTTGTACGTATGCGTGCGCGTCTAGCGGCGACTGATACTTGTAAATAGATATGCAAAGATTCGGGAAAATGAGAGTTACTACTAATTACTGACATGAATTTGAAATAGATAGTAATATTGATATTACTATCTATTTCAAATTCATTTAGTTTCTTCATTTAGATTCGGTTTTAGATATTGCACCAAAACCTTTAGTTGTGCTTTAAATTCTATATTTCGAAATTATTCTCTTGCTTTCATTATATTTTTTACAAATCGTATTGAAGATAAAAATTTAATTATTGATTGTTGTTTTGTAAAATAAATAAAAAGAAAGTATGAGTTCTTTATCAGCCCCAATACTAAAATATACAATCAGTTTTCAAACTGACTAAAATACATATAATCCATAAAAATCTACATTCAAATTGAGGTTTCAAAAACTAACACAGACACAGTGCACGATCATAACAACTTTCAGCTACACTCTCAAATACATGCGCATACGCACCCATTCACTTAATTTGTAACACTAAATTTATTATTATTATCTTTTTTTTAACTGTTTCAAACATGTACCACGTAAAACTTGTTTTCTAGTTACCCACAACACAGGGCCTCCCTAGTGTGGGGACTAGCGATATATGAATTCTGTCACAACCCTTTTGTCATAAATAAAGTTTTTATTATATATTATTATAAATTAAATTTTAATGTTAGATACCTTATCTCGCTTCAAATTCTGGAGCTCGTTCCGTAGAGAGTGAATCTGGTGTGCGGTGTGTTGTTGGGATTTCTGAAGTCTGGCGTGTTCCCTCTGAGCTGCTTGAAGTCGCCTCAACTCTCGGGACATACTGGAGACTCGTCTTTCGTATTCTTCTTTCACACGTTTGAGTTTATCACTGGGCGGCGATGACTGAGAGGCTGCAATCAAATAAATTCGTGATTTTCTATAAAACATTTTTTCTGATTATACGAAAGAAATCATTAAGATTCTCATCAATTAACTAACTACATATTGGAAGTGGTTCTGACACAATTCTCCAAAATCTTATATATAATACTCTCGTGTCACAATGTTAGTTACCATACTCCTCAGAACCGGCTCGACCGATTTTTATCAAATTTTATATACATATTCAATAGGTCTGAGAATCGGCTACTATTATTCAAACCCCTAAATGTTAAGGGTTGTCCACCCTAAATTATTTCTTTTTTAATTTTTAGATAATTTTTTTTATGATACAACATTAAAAAATTCATACAACCCCTAATTTCCACCCCTCTTTTTTATTATAAATGATATACATGGCAAAAAGACGTTTGCCAGGTCAGCTAGTATATATATATATATAGAAATAACCACATTATCATCAACGGAACATATCATTCGGACTAAATAAAATGTTTGCCACGCTTACTGGTCACTTAAATGCCTTAAAGCAATCTAAGCTTTTGTACATCGCTTTCACTTGCAATGAAACAAAACGGCGTAGCTAGTGTAGCTGTTTTTTAAAATGAATTCAATTACCTCTGTAGAAAAAAATATTCCACTAAGTCAGAAAAAACGTTTAATTTTAATTATGACCCTACTTGACATCACAGAACCTTCATCAACATCATTCACCATCTTTCATTAAACCCCCGATATCTTTCATTCACTAACTCATAATAAAACCTTTAATTCCCAAAAACTTTGAAAAAATTTACCCAAAGACGCAAGAACTTTATCCCTTTCCTCTCCCGTAGCCTTGATCTGCTGATGCAAATGGTCCAGTCTTTGTTCGTAATGTGTGCGCAGCGCGGCCAATCTCCTTTGAGATGCCTCTAATTGGTCCACTAAACGAGCCTTCGTGTCGATATCTTCACTTAAGGCCGCAAGCTGCGCCGTTAGGAGTTGTTGACCTGAAGTAGAAAGAGTGGTAAGATTAAAGGCCGGCAACGTCAGAGTGATGAAACATATAGCTGTAACATTAATTAGATTATTAAACGCAACAGGCAAATATTTAAAACCATAAAATAAACTATTCGACATAAATATGTAAACTTGGCTATTCATTGGTTTTTGGAAATACTACATTTATTATTTGTTTTAGGGAAAACACCAATTATACTATAGCCAAAGATAGAAGAAAAGAAGATTAACTGGGTATACCTTTATTCGGGTGTGTTGTGTTATAGTGTGTAAGTTAGTATATGTATATAAGGTATGTACTTAAAAGTGTGTATGTGGATTGTGGGGTGAGCTCATGATGCAGGATATTTAGCTAAGTATATTCTTAATACTTTTAAGCATATTTCGTGATAACTTCGTCGAGGCTTAAATACTGATCGTTTTAAGTCCGGGCTGCGCGATACACGACTGAGTTTTTTTATATAGTTGTTGTTCATGTGAGAAACGTGAAACAATGCAAAAAACTTTTTAAACGGATATGAAGAACTTTGTCAGGTCAATACAGAAGATACGAAAATTTTCTGTATGAATAATTTAAACATTTCGTGTTTAAAAGATCAAATGTATTGGATAATCTTAGCGCTAAAAATCCATCTCTGGTAACTTTTACTATAGAAATTTCTTTACACTAACCTTTCATCTCATTGTCCTCTTCAGAATCACTCTCCTCTTCTTCCGAGGGTTCAGAATCACCAGCACTTTCGCCTTCAGCTCGTTCCCTCTCCCCAAAAGGCTCTGGCACTTCTGTTAATTTACGTTGGAATTCTAGTTCACCCATACTGCGTGCTAACAACTCTTTCTCCTGTAAATGAAAATGACAATTTATTAACATCTCTTATTGTAGTGACTTTTGACCACTCCATAGAAACTAAAAAAGAATATTGTAAAGTTTTGATTATGAATTTTTTATGAATATATTTTTTTTCCTTTAAAAATCCTTTCATGCCATTTTCCTTTGCAAATGTCCGGTAAAATAATTAAATTTATATCACGTAAAAAACCTTTTGGTGTCAGATTTATGCATCTGTTTCGTGATTATTATTTTCTTTATAGAAAAGTATCTGATCAGCCTTCTGTGCCTGACACACGACCTCGATAGAGGTTTCCTCAAAATGTATTTTTGTACGAGCTTGTTCATTGGGCACATTGAAAGACAAATTTATTGGCACAGCTGTGGTTTTAACGTACGATCAAAGGGTTGAAAGATACTTTAGGCCAACAAAGGCCTTTGAGATTTTTTTATATTAAAATAATAGTAAGGACCTATCATCGATTTAAAATCTGCATATGTGGTAGGGCTCGAATTACAGTAAAACAGAAAAAGTTTGGAAAATCTAAAAGTGCACGCCTCATAGCGGTCATTCACATTTTAAAAAAAATTCTAAAACAAAAACTCAAGTTTTTAAAAACAAAATAACAAAAAAAATAAAAATAAAAAATAAATGAAAATGAATGATTGAAAAAAAAACAATAATATAATAAAAATATATATAGTGGCGCCATAACTCTAAGGTGAGGAAAAAATATACTAAAATAAATGTATATATATAGATATACAAATACACAGTCGTATTTTAGTTTTTTACAAATTATAATTAAACGACAGTACTTAGAACGCTAATATTAACTAGGAATCAGCCCAGGGTATAACTTTATATAATAAGAAAAAAAGTATTCTGGTACGATAAATTTTTCGACCAATTTCTCTGCCACATACATGGATCCATAGACTGACGGACGTCCAAGAATGATTGATTTTAATGTTATTATTTACTATGTTAAACAAAATAATTGTTCATAAAAAATACCATATGTGCTTGATAGATTATTTAACTCGATTTTAGTGCACTCATATTATCATGTTAAGTGGAAAAAGTCATCAGTTCACTTGAAGTCGAGGGGACTGCCTCCGCTCCGCTAATGAGGCGTGCAATATGACCCGTGGGTTTAAAATTTCGTTGGCTATATTATTGTTAGTACATACATATGGTAACAAATATCGTATTTTTTGTATTTGCCCTTTTATGTCAAAGGGTTCACACGATTTTATTATTTTTTATTATTAATATATGATTTTAGAATTTATTATTATTAAATACGACTGACCTTATAAAGTTCTCGTTTCGCATCGTCAATGATGGTAGAAGTATCGAGAACAGAAGAATCGTGTCTGGTCCTTGCTTCGCGTCGTCTGCTAGCTTCGTACAACGCATTTGCTTCCATCAACTGAGCCCGAAGATCTTCTATCTCTGATACGTAACCCTAAAGAACCGAACAAATTATGATTTTCTGGACATTCAAAGACTCATGTTAAATAAAATTCATTTATTAAACAATAATACTGGCTTAATTTATGCATGGACAAATTTGTTTTTTTTTTATAAATTTTATGTCATAAATCTTTTTTTTAGGCAAGCCTGTACTATCTTCCTGAATCATTTTAATATGAAGTATGAACATTAAACGGACATGAAATGTAAGTGTTACACAGCCTTAATATAAATAACAAATTAATATTTTTGAAGTGAAAACTTCTTTAGCGGAGTTGTACACTTTTTTTGGAATGGGTAAAAAATGTTAAAACTCGCGTCAAGACAAATTCGTAAGACGTTCGCTTTTTAAAAGGATTATGAACCTTCGTGCTATATAGTTACGGTTTTAATTCATTTTTCTCTTTCCTCAGATACATTGATCCATGTGGAATTGGACCTTAAGTCAATACATCAAGGTTTAATTTTGCGAAACGTCTTAAGCTTTATTATTAACCGTTTGGTCAGACTGACGACGGATGAAGAGTGGACAGCTGCCGCGGCGTACTTAATGTAATATAAATTGTCATGTTTGTGTACGATAGCGCAATAAATAAATATTGTATTCTACCACATAAATGATAGTACTTTTATACTGATAATTAAAGCAATTCGTGCAAAATTATTCCCTAACCATTCCAAAATATCAAAAATGCACAACGTTAATATTCAAGTTTTCACTTCTGCCGGCACTCCCGGAGTGCAACCCGTCGTTTTTGTATTGCAAGACTTATGATAAGCTATCTAGAATATGCTAAGATGTATACCTCTTAATGTAAAGAAACCCACGAATAGAAGCCCTTGAGCGATTGACTTAATCTATCTACCTGTACTAAAGCCGTAAGATTGCACTCAGACGCGTCAGGGTTGCCCTCTTTCGGTCCCCAAGCTCCCAAGGCCTTTTCAGCCAGCAATTCACTATTCCTAGCAGACAGCTTGTCTACTGTCCCCTGCAGGGCATGCAGTCTTCGTCGTAGAGATTCGATTTCATTATGCAAAATAGCATTCTCTTGAACTACGTCACTCCAGCCTTCTTCGCCGTTTTCTGATATGATGCGTTTGCCCTAAAAATAAATTACATTTACGAAACGAACGAAATAATGAAGAATGGCTCAAATAACACGTGAATGTCGAGGCTATTCAACTTCTTGACACCACGTGAGAAGTTGGAAAAGGACAAAACCATTCGAATCAGTGTGAGTGCACGTTAGTCTTAAGTGCTAAACAGTGGTAGGTGGAAAAACAAAAAAATTTCATCCCCCTAAATTTTAATTTTTTAGGCAAAACTTTTTGTATTTATTTTTTTATGATACAGCATAAAAAGTACATACAACTCTTAATTGTCACCCCTCTATAATCAACCCCTATTCTTTATTATTGTAGATATTTATTTTTATTGAACTAAAAAAATGTTTCCTAGAAATAATATACATAGCAAAACGACGTTTGCCGGGTCAGCTAGTAATTATCATAATAATATACCAGTATATGTACACACATTTACGAGGGGCGGTCAAAAAGTTTATACATACATTTTCTTACTCTTGACATTAGTATTAATAGCGAAAATAAATATTAAAATACCTGCTTATATTCCGTCAGCTCCAATTGCAGCCTGGCAACTTCTTGTCGCAGTTGGTGTATAGTCCTCGAAGTCAGGTCCTGGTTGACCACACATCTGTTCTTTATGTTCCTGGCTCTGTTCGCGTATTTTAACGTATTCAACGTCTCCATAAAGTCGCGGTCGCTGGGTGAAACGCACGCTATCATAACTGTGTTGCTATTACCTGGAAAGCACGAAAATTAAAAAGAAAAGTGTTTTGTTTCTTTGATAGATGTTCTTTTTTTATTATTAAGACGAGTTGGACCTACTTTAGTTTTACATAAATCTTATAACAATTTTAAATGTTTGTTAAGGTTCTAATAATGTAGTTTTTGAAAATCCTGTTTTACTAAATTTATTAATAAACCACTTAGACTTACCTAAAAATGTATAACCATAGATTAAACGAAGAAAATAACATTATTATCGTTGGAAGTCGATATCATCATGGATAAAAAAAAAAATAAATCAATGGCGTTACACCCTTTTAGGTCTGGGCCACAGATTTCTGTATTTGTTTTTATGTCCATTTGTCAATCTAATAGGCATGTAGCCTCCTGTGCCTGACATACGCCTTCGACTGGTTGGGTCTAAGAAACCGGTTTCCTCACGATGTTTTCCTTCACCGTTCGAGCGAATGTTAAATGCGCACATATAAAGAAAGTCCATTGGTGCACAGCTGGGGAACGAACCTACGACCTCAGGTATGAGAGTCGCACTCTGAATCCACCAGGCCAACACTGCTCATCATCATGGACATCGTTATAATTTATTTTTTTATATAATATAAGAATGTTTTTAGATCTTCTCTTTTCCATACTGCATAAATATAAACAATCAATAAATCGCATTAAAATATTCAAGCACTCATAAAAAATTAGTACCTCCAAGAGAATCCTGCAGAAGCCTCGTCAGTTTAGAGTCCCGATATGGTACATGCATCACTTTGCGGGACTTGTCTCCCAATGCTGATATCACGTTCCCTAGCGCTAGAAGACCACAGTTTATTGATATACCTTCACGGGCCCGTTCTCCTGTAGCTCCTGTAATATTTATGAAAGTATTAAACGCGAATACGGTTTTGGGAATAGGAAATGTTCAAACTATAGAAAAAAATTGTACAGAAGCCTTAAATAAAAATAAAATATAATAAAGTATATAATAATAATTATATATTATTAATAATTAATACAATAAATAAAATAAAGGTAACACACAAAAACAATAACACGTTGAGATATAACAGAATTCTAAGAAAGTGCTTCAATGTCGTAGTAGTTTTTTTAAATATTCAAATTACCTTTCTACAGACTAAAGCAGAGCTAAGATTATAAAAAAGATTTAAAATGTTATAAGGAGTAACTTATATGAGTATATTAATTTAATTCATCGGAGAGGTCGTTAAAATTAGAACAATATTTTTACAAGACGTAAAAAAAGTGCTTAATCTTAAAAATAATTAATTATATACCTGTCCTTTTCAGTCGTTCTGAACCAGCCAGATCCACGAAATGGAACTTAGCGGTCAACGTCTCATATTGTTCGGGAGCATCGGCATCTGTCTCCATCTCTTTCACACCTTCGTGATCTGCCAGTCTTCTCTGTCTTAGGAGAAGTGTGAAAACCGCGTGAGATCTTGATGATGATGAATTCATGTTCGTGGCTGCTGTGGTCCGGGCTAACGCGCCGGCTCGGAGTGCTCCTAGGGCTTCTTTGGCACCTCTGACAGCTCTAATGGACGCTCCAATTATCCTTACTCCACCGCAACCATCTTCTGTTATTTTTAAATTACCCTGAAAAGTATTAGCTTATATGAGGAAACTGGCATTTTTAAAAATTGGTTAACTTATACTTATAGTTGGGTTCACATTTAATTCATAAGCAAATTTGTAGTAGAAGAACGGGTTCTATACTCATTATTTCGACTATGTATTTGCAAGTTGTTCCCACGAGAAAGTAAGTGAGTTCTACTATTTCACCATGCCTACTGCTGATAGAGGACAAATCTTTGTTTTTAATTTCTTTTATTATTAATTAATATTAATTATAAGATGTCATGTGGAATATGGTGTAACGGTTGCAGCTCCTTACAAACGTTGTTAAAACAAAAAACTTGACGATTAAAAACAGTGGCGAAGAGTTTATTGCCAGTTCTTCTCGTCCGTTCTACGCCCTTGATTTGAGAACTGGCAGTAAATGTAAAATGAGAAACATTAAGCATATAATATGTATTTTTTGATTGACGTTCATAAGTGTACATTGTGTTACCTAAATGAATAAATGATTTTTGAATTTTGAAAATTTTATTAATAGGTGATTGACTAAATTAAAAACATGCGTTCAATGCCTCCAACGTCCTGCTCTGACCAAAATAACAAAAAATAAATACTGGTTACTGTTAAAGTTTAGTTCATATATTTTAAACTTAAGAAAATCCATATAATATTAGTATTACAACTTTATAATGAACTAGCTGATCGGCAAAGTCCTTTGCCATGTAATCATTTATTATAAAAGAAGTTCATAATCAATATATTTAAAAAGAATTATAGGTATGTGGACTACCCTAAACATTTAGGGGATTTTTGGGGATGAAAATAGATGTTGTCCGATTCTCAGACATACACAATAAGCACACAAAATTTCATGAGAATCGGTCAAGCCGTTCCGGAGGAGTATGGCAACGAAAACTGTGACACGAGAATTTTATATATTAGATATTTAAACAGCATTGTATTCTAGATTGTTTTGTCCCTTGTAATAGCTATATGTTAAAAATGACTGCTATTTACTAACGCTTCTGCCCTCCAGAGGTTTCTATCATATCCTACTATACATATATTGTTATAAATCCTACTAAGATTGTATTTATCGCTCATATCAACTTAACTGGTTGGTTTCGGACACTGTCGATCAAATGTATGAACATAACAAGACATTCCGAACAATCCAGGAAGGTGTTCAATTGCAAAACAGTCTTTCTTAGACCTACAAGGTTATTTATCGCTTCCATAATTGGGCTTCCATTCACCGACTGAGGCTAATTTATTCTTCTATTATCATACGAATAAACATGTCAAGAATAGACCAACAGTTCTAATTAAGTCTATATTGCGAGCTAATGTGTGACTCAAGTCTCACGATGCATATTGTTCTAAGTGAAAGTAAATAATGCGTTGAACGTGGTTCATGTCACGCTGTTTTATTTAATTGTCTCTTTATTATGCAAACTGTTTTAAAGTACCGGTCAAGTTATATTAATAGTTGTATTGGTAATTGGATAGTTAGTTAGTTAGTTAGTTAGTTTCAAATGACGCATATTATCACAATATGTCAGAGTTTCATATTGTATGATGTATCGTCAGCTAATTTCTACATATAAGGTACATTCCAAATCATTCGTGGCCGTAGAGGACCGTGAGTTTAACGGCTGATCGCGTGGATGGATGCGGACAAGGCCGTCTGTTACCGTGTCCTGCCTTGGGCGATTGCTGGTGGTGCCGTGGGGTTTTAGTGGGTATGCACAGCAGCGAGTCCCACATAACCCTTCACCATCAGGCAACCGTGCCGCGGGAGGGTATGCGTAAAGCATTTTTCCCAACGAAAAAAAGTCTACATAAGCTTAATAGCTTAAAAAATTTTGGAGGATATTTCCTCAAGTCTTCATACAGTGTAAAAAAACACTACTTCGGTTTCGATCTGATATAAAAGGATGCACCCATAATCTAGTAATCTATTTTCTTCTTTTTAATGTTTTTGCGACGCACATAGTGAATAGGTGCAATTTCTTCTATTCCTAGAGCGTCCATTCTCGATACGAAACCTGAGAGAACTGCCTAACAGATAGTAGTTGCTAGCAACTTCATTTGGCTACCGAAGGTAGGTAACGCCTTGAAATCCTAGGTTGGATTGAATTTTCTGCTTTGGTGAAACGGCTTAGCATTTGTAAATAATAAAAGAATAAGAAAGATAATTCTGGTTCATGAGCCACTGTTTACTGGTCTTTAAGATTATATGGGTTCGAATATGGAAGAAGGCGCTTTCGAAATCAGATATTTTCAAGTATTTCTTTTAGGTATTGTAAATACGTGAAACTTAAAATAGTACACTGTTATGAACTAAACTACGCTAACGAGCTACAAGGACACGAGATTTGTCAAATTAAATTAGTTTCATGCACTATTGCACTTGTCTAATTTACACAGAATGATTTAATTGCTTTAAGGTCCCGGGTTCGACCCCCGGCTGAGACAAACACTAGTATGAGCTTTGTTGTTCTATTCTAGGTCCTGGGTGTTTAAATATTACTTAAGCTATTGTAATAATATGTATGTATATCCGTTGCCTAGTACCCATGACACAAGCTTCACCAGCTTAGCATGGGACTCGGTCAATTGGTGTGAATTGTCTTTAATGAGCTCTGAAGCATTCATTCATGGCCCTTGAAAGAGGACATACACACACACATATATATATATACACGTGGACGTAGGTCATAGAGTATGTATACCTTCGCATAAGGATCCTTCGCGGGGTCTAACAAGTCCACAATGTCTTCATTGTAAAGCTCAATGAACTGCGCTTGGACCGAGAACTCGGGCGGAAGTTGACCCTGCGCGCGGGCAGCTTCTGCCCTCTCTTCAGCTCCAGTGAACAGGTCACGGATTGCTCGAGGAATGATGCCTCTTTTGTCCTCGTCAAGGTCACCCTCCCCCTCCCAGCCACTTCCCATTGTGTATGTCTTTCCGGAGCCAGTCTGTAATAAGGAAACGGTAATTAAATGTCACGAATCGTTAATTGGTAATTATTTCACTCATTAATTGAAGTGATAACGAATTAAAAATTATATCTTTATTGTGGCCTTAAAAGTTATCGAGAGAAATTTCGTTATTTTGCAAGCAGTTTTATAATTATTTGTTAATTAATTTGATATCGTATTTTACTCCGTTACTCCTTACGTGCCGATCCAAGACGACATGTACCTCTTTTTTAAAATGTTTTATTATTACTATTTAGAAAACTATTGCAATTATATCGATCGAGAGACCCAAACATAAAAGAAATATGTTTATTATGGAATATAACATACACACTATAAAATGGACTTGTATAGTTTTCTGTAATTTGAATTTTTTCTTTGATTAGTAATTGTTTTTTTTTGTTATGTTTGTGTTGTAATAGGTTATGATCTCTATATATATATATGTATGTCATGTTTGCCTGTAAGTGCTTGTCACACTAAAAATTGTATTCTGTGTTTGTCTTTACCAATGTGTCAGTGTGCCGAGCGTTGGCAAGCTTTTTCTCAATTAAAATATATATATTCATATACACGATACAGGTATCACTTAATCCACGTCATTAAATTAGAATTGGTAGACATCCCTACTCATCGGCAAAGAAGACAGAGGACAAAAAGCCGGAGTAAAAAACTCTCGGTACTCTTTTAAAATAGCAAATCATAATAAAAAATTACTATGTCAAACAACAGTTATTTTAAAACAAATATCGCAAATTAATTAGAAATAGCCTGTCTAGCACTAGTCCCAGGCCCTTTTATCAACTAGATAATCGTTAACTTTATAGTAAGCTTTTTTACACAGCTTTTCTTTAATATATTTCTTAATTTTTTTAAATTTCTGGATTTTATTAAAGAAAAGTATCCCTTTTCCCAAAAAATAATTACTAACTTTAGATAGTCTAGTACGGGGATATTGCAGCCTGCGTTTGTTCCGAGTATTAACATTGTGCGTTTGTTCTATTCTAGTAAACTTATCACTATTTTTGTATACGGTATGTATACATAATATTTTCTTAAATATATTGCGATTCAAAGGTAAGTATATTAATTTCCTTGAATTTATCTTTCAGAGATTCATTTAAATTATAGATCGCACGAATAGCCCTCTTCTGCAGAATGAAAATAGTTTCGACATCAGCATGACCCCATAATAATAATCCATAAGCCCATCAAATATGTATTTTGACAAGCGTCAAATCATATCGATATTAAATACGACAGTATAATCTATAGTAGCGGTTGATGATTATAGTGTGGAGATAACGGATACCTAGATGGAACATGGCCTATTACACCATTTGAGTAGAGCCGGTTTGCGATTTTAACGGAATGGCGACCCACTGTCTGTACGGCGACTACGTGACTACCATACCCAATGAATTATTTTAAAGGAAGGCGAAATAAGTTTATAAAATTGTCTTTAGCCAGTTATTATCTACATTTAGCTAGGGACTAACCTTCTGAAATGGGCAATCGCAGTATTACTTTAGTAACGAATTATTAGGTCCGTTGAGTATATTGAAAAGTTATATTATTTGTTATAGTAGTTAGTTATTTAATAAAAAAAAATTTTGCATCTTGTTGTTTGCATGTTGTGCATTCTTGTCGGTTTAGGGTGATCTGTTAGGACAGGATTGTGTTTTGCACATAAATTATTTAGTGTACGTAAATGCAAATTGGTAACATTATTACGATCTTGGCTGAAGTTTTCAAATATTTACATTATCGATATTGGAAAGTGGTTGTCGTCGGCACGTTGGAAGGCCAAAGCCCGCGGGGCATATAACTAACTAACTCGCTGGTGTGACTGCACAAGTCTCCCCATAACAGCTGCGCTAAGTGAAGCTATAGACCCAACAAAGTGGAGAGATAACACTACCAGAGTAGTGACGTGACTTTCAGCTTTGAAAAATACAACTAAGAAGATAGTAGATTGGTTTTTTTTAACCGAAAAGATGTTGATGTATATTTTCATTCTTGAATAATACACAAAATATTAATTTATTACAATAACACCTTAGAACTTGATAGCCATTAGCGGCCTTCACACGTGCAGTTCGGAATGGCATTTCTGGAACTGCGCACCAATCTGCAGATAAATCTGTGCAGACTAGACCGCGCGCTGATCTGTGCTTCTACTTTACGCTTCAATTGTAATAACAGTTTGAACTGCGGTTCAAGCTGTCTATTTCGCTTTCCTGCAGATAAAACTGTACGTATAAATGCTTTTCGAGAGTTTAGATCGCAGTATGGAATGGCGCGTGGAATGTCGACCAGTTTTAAAAGTTTTCTTTCAGTTTTAACCGGTACAGTAGAAATGGATACACGTCTAGTGATCGCGTTAGCTGGTTTTGTGGTTGGTTTTAATAATCTAAAAAGGAGACGTGTATGGGTTAAGAAATATAGACGAAAATTTGGACATTTACCCATGTTAAAAGAAATACGAGAAAACTATCCAGAAGATTTTAAAAATTACCTAAGGATGGACGGCGATAATTTTGATTGCTTATTGGAACTTATCCGTCACAGAATTACTAAGCAAGATACAGTTATGAGAAAATGCATAACACCAGAAGAACGTCTTTCCGCAACATTAAGATATCTGGCAACTGGACGTTCATTTGAAGATTTAAATTACGGTTTGTATAAGCCGACTTATTTTTAACTTGCCATAAACATGGATGTTGCCGATATATCCTTATAAAACCTGTCACTGCTTCCACGCTCCAAACTGCCATTTTGAAATAATTGTCATCCACACGAGGTACCCGCATAATACTGTACAAACGTTCGTACACACCAATGTGCCGCATCGAACTGTCAAACCACCACGCGCTTGTCGCGTCTACACGGACGGATTGGACGGCAGATCAGAATGGCGCGGGCTGTTTCCTACGGTTCGAACTGTACGTGTGAAGGCCGCTATTCATTATATACCACAGACAAGCTTTAAAAGCTAGATCTACACATGCCTTTACCCCAAGAGAGGGTCATCAAAGAGTAGGTACCTACTGATTATTTTATTGACAACATAATAATATACTATATAATACTGCTAAAAGCTTTTACTTCACTTTACTTAACTTGTATAATAAAATAATTTGCAACATTGTCCGACAAATCAACATCTGATGACATCCACAGATTACACTATCTATAATTGTAACATAAAGATGTTATCTCTACAAAAGACTAATTAACAAAACCCGTCCGACTTTCATATGCGGAAAGTAATCCATTTTTTCCCACGACGTAATATTTACTTAATTAATATATTATGTTTGCATAACACTTTCTATATACACAGGCTTCCGTACTCTAATCAGGTTTCGACAAGTACACCGGAAATATAATGATAGTTCAAAAAGCTTTATGCGATGTGACTTCCGGTTTAAGCCGTGATGTTTAGGGTTCCATTTTTAGTTTTAAAATTAATGATATACAACTAATACGACACAAGATTTTCGGTTTTCTTTTACTGACTTTAGCATATTAATTAGCATAGCAATATAATCTGTTGTGATAATATTTTTTAAGCATTTATCCCAATGTTAACAATTTTTGAAAACATCTAAACGAAGTTAATGCTATATTAAACTCATTCTTAAAAGTAAATTATCATTTACTTAATTCAGAAGGGGACAATACTGTCAAATGTTTAAAAATGTTAAATAACTGCTACCATATTATAATAAAAAATAAATCAGTGGCGCTACAACCTATTTAGTTTTGGGCCTCTGGATTTCTGTAGCTGTTTCATGATAATTTGTCAATCTAATGGGCAAGTACGTGATCAGCCTCCTGTGTCCGACTTTTTGGGTCTAAGGCAAGCCGGTTTCATCCCGATGTTTCCATTACCGTTCGAGCGAATAGACAGAAAGTCCATTGGTGCACATCCAGGGATCGAACCTGCAACTCTCAAGGATGAGAGTTGCACCTGAAGCTTCTAGGCCAACTCTGCCATATTATGCCTGCGATAATTTTGTTTATAAACATATTTTCATAATCAATATATTTTTACAACCAATACTTATCTATTAAGGTCATAATGATACAAGAAAAAAGACAAACAATATTAGTATGAATAAAAAATATGAATTTCAGGTATCTAAAAGCATTTAAAAAAAATCAATGATATCCACTCGTTAGTGAAGTTTTCTTAAGTTAGGGACGTAATTATTTAGAAAATTATATGTAATAACAAAATATAAATTGCAATATTTTGACCACGGTCAAACACTAGACAATATCAGCTTATCACAGTTATCTTGTTTGATTAGAATGATAACAGAAACACACAGGAAAATGGTAACACTCCAGATTACATAAAAGTTAAAATTGCATGCGAAATTAAGTTCACTGGCGCCTGGTGGAACGCCAGTAGGAGATGACTCACAACTCTTATGTCATGATTGTCATATTTGATTTTAGAATTGGTCAATTGGCCATTTAAGGTTAGTCATTAAAGTAACACTGATAATTTTATTAAAATGTTGCTATGATATCAGGACAATTGTTAACTACAGTATGATATCCCACGGGCACCTTTCGACTCCGTAGGCGGTTATTCGCCGCAGAAGTCGCTTTTGAAGACATGATATCGTATTGGTTTGGAATGGGTCACGAAGTACTTTAAACGCGATACTAAAGTCAAAGTCAAAAATCGTTTATTCATATAGGTAACACAATGTACATTTATGAACGGCAAAAAATAAATATACATTAAATGCTTCTAATTTTACATTTACTGCCAGTTCTCAAATCAAGGGCGTAGAACGGAAGAGAAGAACTGGCAATAAACTCTCCGCCACTCTTTTTAATCATCAAACTAATGAATCGCCTACTGCGTATTAATCCTTTTTGTAAGTGAAATGGGCGATACGTTTAAATTATCTTAAGGTTTTTAAAGATGTGATAAGTACACAATGTGGTAAGTGTATACTACAGTATTTCCGAGCCAATTCGACTTGGGTCGTTCAAGAGTGTACCAACTTTTCAAAATGCCGGTAACAAAATCGGAAGCCTTCTGGCAGTGTTAGTTGTCCATTGGCGGCGGAATAACATGTAAGCCGCAAAAGCTACTTTTTGATAATTTTTTTTCTGCCTCGTAATTAGATACAACTTACATATATTAATTATTGTAACTCAGTTAACCTTTTGATTGGCTTTTGAATTTTTGTTTATACATATTTTTATTTATTATTATTTTTATTTTTTCTTAAGATAGTACTTTATTTTAGTTATAGTTACGTGTTACTTGAGGGTTTTTTGATCACTTTACCCTCTGTAGGTGTTTCTTTTTTATTGTTCCATATTAGGGTTGCCTGGAAGAAATCGTTTGTTAGCGATAAGGCCGCCTGTTGCCTTATAACTTATGTAACCTGTTTTTTTTAATATATGTATGTTCTTGTATTAAGGTAATAAAGTGTAAATAAATAAATAAGCCTCCTGCCCGTTTTCCCCCGGTTCTATAAAAAGGGCAATAGTTTGAGAACTCAAATAGACATAGACATAGAGATAATATTTATTTTTCTTTTAAAGAACAAGGTGCGTTTTAAGTGTGTAATGCAAATAAAGAAAAGGTATTGTCCATTATTAGTAATTAATGGGAGATGGTCAAAAGCGTTTCCGTTTTTAGTGACCTTTTTACTTTACTTAAGAATCTATGTAAGTTACTAGAATAAACAAACATTAATTATATCCGCAAAAGCCTAATGATATTATCGTGACATGGTGACGCGCTTTGTGAACGTAAGAATGTCGTTGTTTTTGTTATTCCTCAAGTTAACTGACGTAGTTCCAGTTTCAATTTTCCTTAGAATCGTCTGATTCCGCAATATATAAGACAAAATGATAATAGGTTTTATTTGTAAAAATATTTATTATAAAAAATAATATGTTCTTTAATGTTTTATCCTTATAATGCTAATTAGTAGAGATTTTTAATACGTTCAATAGGACATTACAGTATTTTGTAAAACTCAGTTCGTCAATTCAAGAGTCTTGCCGAATTTAAATTACTTAACCATTTTTTTATATACGGCGCAACTCATTTAACCAAAACTCAATAAACCAGAATCTGTACGTTGTGTTAATAATTAATATTTCTAAAAATCTAGTCTTCGCAATGGGTCTTCTGGAATTCTATACAAATAACACTTGGGATAGACAACTTTAAAAAAACCCCAAATGCGATTCTAAATACTATTTGGGTCTTATCACTGACTGCTTACGTAATCATGATGTAAGGCATGTCAACATCGTAACAACCTCGACCTTCACATCTATGTTAAAAACTTAGATATATCATTCAACGTGAACAAAAAAATACAGGTATTTTTATGTAAGAGGATCAAACGGGCAGGAGGTATACCTCATGTTAAGTGATACCGCCGCCCATAGACAGTCACATTACCAGAGGGCTCGCAAGACTGCGTACGCTCTTTTCTTGAAGGACCCTAAGTCGAATTGATTCGGAAATCCATCGGCAAAAACTGCCCAGTTGTGGAACGATGGATCTTGGTGGACTTTTGGTCTTGGCTTGTCTTCTATATTCGCTTCATTTCCAAGGTACATAAATGATCAATATTTTAACATAATATAGTATTTGTATACTGTTGCTTCTAGTTTCAAGAATGAGAAGAGGTCGCCCAAAAAAAGGTGGATAGAAGAAATAGAAGCGGTAGCAGGAAACGAATGGAGAAAGAGAGCCATAGACAGAGTCAGTTGGAAAAAGCTGGAGGAGGTTTTTACCCGTGAAGGGGTTCCGATCGACGGTACTGAAGGAAGCTAGGATATTGGATAACAAGCAAAAGAAAAAAAAATGTATAAAAATGTAAAATAATCTAGGCTGTGAATTATAATTTGTTTTTGTCATGATTGGAAATAAAACGGGCTTTATTATTATTATTCTGTTGGTTACAATATTTTTAATTAATGTTCAATGAAGTGTAAATAAAATTTGGCTTGTGTTGC